AAGTCCAGACTCATGGTATATTTTGGAGGTAGTTCTCTTTGACAGGGCTTGTTGAGAGAGTGGATGTGGGAGTGAGGGAAAGAATGTGATCAAGGTTAATCCCTAGGTATGAGGCCAAATCAACTGAGTATACAGTATTACCATTAACTGATCTGGTGGAAAACTGGAGGAAGAAAAGTTGGGTGGATAACAAGTATGGGGTGGACATATTGAATTTGAGATGTCAACTAGATAACCAAGTAAAGATACACAGTAGGCAATTATAGATAAGAGTCTGGAGTTCAGAGGTGAGAAAAGAATTTGAGATATTAATATTTGAGTTATCAGGGTATAGACTATAAATTGTTGTAAGTAAAATCACTTACAGATAAAGAGGGGGTTTTTCTCTTTCTCCACCAAATCCATTGTCCACCCTTGTCTCCATCTTTGGCACTGGGAGGTTGCAAGGACTTCATCAGCAGAGCCCAGCACATACTGGCTTCTGGGTGGATTGAGTCAATGGAGAACTTGGCGGGAGTTTGAGGGAAGGAGAGGGCCATGATCAGCTGGCAACTGAAGGTTGGTGAAAGCCCTTTGCCATTACAAAGGGCATCAGAAAACATCTTTGTAGGCTATGATAGTTGACTGGTAACTGTAGCTGGAAGAAACTATAGTCCAAGGCTCATTATGACTGAAAGGGATTTGAGGGGAACAGAAAGGCAACTGACAATGTTCAATGCCAATGGGGCATTTTCTAGGGACTATAAAGCACTTTATAGGGATTTTATAGCACTAATTCAGTAGTGCTCCAGTTTCTAGGCTCCATATCTCCTGCAGTACACAGGGGTGGTGTGTATCTGTTTATATTTTTATCTCTTACCCTAGTCTGGGAGAGTTCCTTGTAAATATGCACATGCCTGTATAGGCTAAGCAGTTTTCAACATGCCTGGCTCACAGGTTTGGGGAATATATGTGTTCCTTAAGCCTTGGAATGACTTTCACCTCCTGGTTAGAATATCAATTTTGAAAGGTCCATTTAATTTAGATATTACCCTTCTAAGTATTATTCCCAGAACCACCCATAATTAAGGGACCTCAGGCTTTGCAGATATACCTCTACTCAGGCCTTCATTTGTAAAAGCAAAACAAAAAGACCAAAAAAGATAAAACAAAAAAAAATCACCCTCAGTGAGACTGAGGCATACATATATAAAATATATCTCTCATTTTTTCCCTGTTCTTGAACTCCTTCTCCTTCACCAATGAATTTATGAAAACTTTTAATAAATGCACTGAGAATAAAATGAAATATATAATAGAACTGAAAATGTTTTTGAAAAACCATAGTATTTATTACTTTGAGTTTTGAAGAATTTAAAACCACGGCTCACAACATATCCTGAAATGAATTCTTGGCGGCTTAAAGAATTAAATATAAACACACACACACACACACACACACACACACACACACACGAAGAAAACAAAATAGAATATTTTTTCAATCTCTGAAGATGGAAGAACTTCCAGAGCTTAGAAAAGTATTCAATATCATAAGAGGAGGATGAACAGCTCTTACTTTGATACCTAAAAAATAGGACTTATTTACTGTGTATATTACATAAAGAATTCATGCAAAACAATTTAAAAATACCCAGTAAGAGCAAAGGGCGTGAAAAAATAATTCACAAAAGAAGAAATGCAACTGATGACCAACATACGTAATAATGTTCAATATCACTATTAATTCAAGTTAAAGTAACAAGGTTCTGCTTTCCCCCCATTTATTCTTATGGGTCTCAATTCCTGTTACTAAGCTGCCTTCCAAATAGCAATTCACGGTGTTCCCAGGAGTGCCCAAGAGCACCACTTTCATCACTACCATTTAGCATCATCATCTTAGTTTTTTAAAATTCATATCCTTTCACCTTGTACTTTTGTTTCCCAGAATTTATATCAGGCTAATAATCCCAAATATGGTGAAGAAAGTTTCATTACAGCATTTTAAAATATAGTACAACAGTACATAGTCTAGCAATAGGAATGGTCAAATATAGTATATCCACTTGATGTATCTGAGTGTTAATTGGAAAGGAAGTGCAAAATCCTTTGCCTACTTTTCCATATTTCACTGACTGTAATTATATTACTTTTTGTCTTAGGGTCTGTCAAATGGGCACTACCTCTCCTTCCTGGGTGAAATTATGTGTTCTTTTAGTTGTAGTAAATATGACATCTAGACAAGCTATGTAAGAGGCACAGGTGGTTGAGCACTCTCCCTGACCCTTGGATGGGCATTGCCTCAGCCTCTTCCTGAAGTGGTTGGGTGGCAGCCTTGAGCATGGGGGTAATGAGCCCCAGTGAGCACCGAGGGCTGGCCACTCACCCTCTTACTGCTTCACTCAGGGAAGACATTCAGGGTCCCTGGACACCCAGTCAGAATATTCTTTCATCGTATTCAGGACACCAGTTGATGGATTATTTATAATAATATGCAAGCATAATTTATAAACAAAAGATTTTAATAACAGGTTTTTTTTTTTTTTTTTTTTTTTTGTGGTATGTGGGCCTCTCACTGTTGTGGCCTCTCCCGTTGCGGAGCACAGGCTCCGGACGCGCAGGCTCAGTGGCCATGGCTCACGGGCCCAGCCGCCCCGCGGCATGTGGATCTTCCCGGACCGGGGCACGAACCCGTGTCCCCTGCATCGGCAGGCAGACTCTCAACCACTGCGCCACCAGGGAGCCCAATAACAGGTTTTTAAATGATGCATGTTCTCCTTTCTCATTGGAGAAATGTCATTCTCCCTTCCTAGGGACACAGACCTCTTGACCTAACTTGCTAAAGAAAACACAACTTGCAACCATTACAGGTGGGGTGTGAATGCATGTAGGGGGTGGGGCTAGGGAGTCTTGGGTTCAACAGAAAAAATTTTCCTGTGTCTTCTGTAATATTTTATATTCTAAAGTACACGCACATGCACACACACACGCACATGCCTGCACGAGTGCCCAAAGGGCTCTGGCCAATGAAATGCCCCAGGAATACTGACACGGTTATGGTGGTTTCCAAGATGGACTTACAGTGTAGGAGGTGGTAAAGGAAGAGCAAGGCTCTGGAGTTAGTCTGATCAGGGTCTGAATCTGGATTCTACTACTTATGTGATCTTGGGTAAGAAACTCTTCTCGTGTGTATTAATACAATGTGTGAGAATTTAATGAGGTACTGTATGTAAAGCCAGTAGCACACAGCAAACAGCCTGGAATGGTAGCCTTGTCTGTGGTTATTCTAAATAGAGTCCTACGTGTAATGAACTGTAATTTGCATGTGAGTGTTAGGGACCTGGAATGTCCAGAGCTATAAGCTGCTCTGGAAATTTGATTCCCCACTCCCTACCCAATGCTCCTACCTGCTACACTCTGTTAAATAGATTTACTTGAAGGAAGACACTCTGTGGAGACAGGGATGAAAAGGGAGAATCACATGGCATTTGGTCCCTTGCTCAGCTCAGGGATTAAGTTTCTCCCTCCTTAGGAGAGAGGGAGCATTCATCCCACTTCTGTGCAGAGCTCAGCAGCTCCAGAACAATGATGGATGAGCTGTGAGATTTCTCACTCCCTTGGGTTTGTACAGTTCTCAGAGCGAAGCCATATTATAGAACAAGATCCCCAGAAGATGGCAGATATCCAGTGGGTGTGGACTTGCTCTGGAGCCTATGAGATACTCCCTACCTCTCAAGAGATTCCTGGGGGTACTTTGCATGATTACTGCCCTTCATAAAGGTGGGGGAGCTGAAGCAATAAAGTTTGGGTTTAATTGCTAAAGGAAACTTCGTATACCCATAGAAGAAAACACAATGGCTGAGGAGGCCTGTGGACACGTTAAGAACACTGTGGGAAGATGGTAAATTAGCAGTACTAAGAACTGTGAAGAGAAGAATGAGTGGTGCCTTACGTTGCTGGTAAAACTTGGCAGCTACTGACAGCTCCCAGTCTCCCGAAAAAATAATGATTCATCTATGGGTATATCAGTAACTCTTCAAAGACTTTTGGGGTTTATCCTAACTTTGACAATAGGTTTCTAGTTTTTGTTTAAAACTTGTTTTATTATTAAATATATCATATAAAATATATATAAAACAGGCTTCTAGTTTTTAATTAATGTTGTTGAAATTGTAGGTATCAAAGACAACATGAATGAATCTGAAGGGCATTATGCTAAGTGAAATAAGCCAGACAGAGAAAGACAAATACTGTATGGTATCATTTATATGTGGAATCTAAAAAAAAAAAAAGGTCAGACAAATATAAGCAGAAAGTGGAAGAGTGGTTGCTAAGGGTTGGGGGGAGGGGAGAAATAGGAGATATTGATCAAAGGGTACAAACTTTCAGGTATAAGATGAATAAATTCTGAGGATCTAATGTACAGCATGGTAACTATAGTTAATAATATTGTCATGATACTTAAAATTTGCTAACAGTGATTCTTTAGCATTCTTACTACACAGACACACACACAAAGTAACGATGTGAGGTGACAGATGCATTAATTAACTTGATTGTGGTAAATATTTCACAAGGTATACCTATATCAAAATCATCACGTGGTAAAGTTTAAATATGTATAATTTTATTTGTCAATTACACCTCAATAACGCTGGGAAAAAAGAGCTAAATCATTCATTTTAGAGTTTAAGAAACAAAGGCTCATCGAAACTGAGATTTACCCAAGGTTAAATAAGATAATGGTTGTACCTTTCATTTTTTTTAAAGAGACAATCTTGCTATTTCACATGCTAGATTTCTTATAGTCCTGCTGAAAAACTGATCATCTTATTTTTAAAATCTCACTCAAATTCAATTTAGTAATTTTCCTCTAGCATATACTTCTTGATAATGTCATGTGAAAAGACTCTAGATTTCATCCTTCTCAAATATCCAGGTGATTTCTAACCACAGAATAATGTATCAAGCATGTTCCCTTGGATACTCGAGAAAAAGAAAAGCAGCAGCCATTTAGTTACCTCAAAATCCATTTATTCTGTTGGGAAAATGATAAAGCGTCTTTAGGTTCATGAAGTTTACCAACAACTCCCTATGTTAAAAGTGTAACCAATATTTCTATTTTATTTATATCCATGTTAATTTTGTTTCTTGAAGCTTTCTAACATTTACTGCATAAATGACTTTACATTTAACAGAGACTGACTTTTCTGCTGAAAATATTAAAAAGGAAAATGAACAGTAGATTCATTAAGTAAAATAAGTTACCTAAATATTCTAAATGGAATTCTAAATGGAATAACTTTTGTTAAAACCTCAAAGTTCAGGCAAAGAGCAATAAACTTTACAATTATATGAAAACTTAGGCTTACAGAAGAGCACTCCTTCCTGGCTGGCAGAGCTCTGAATTCATTTGAAGTCTGGCAGCCGTGTTGTATCACTCAGGAGGGAAAAGTACGTCAGGGAGGGCCAGATTTTCAATCTATTTGCTTTTTATCCGTTTCAGGTTAACTCTTAAGATTCTGGGTGCAGTTACCCAAGCATTCTATCCATTGACTGGGTCTATATTTCTAAGAGAGAGAAAGGTCTGTAATTTATGATCGAAGTCAATGGCTCTAAACTGAGGTTCCTTGTATTTTCTGGTCATCTTGGCACCCAGGTATGTAATGAGTTCACATCTCTCCATAAACTGCTCCATCTTCTTCTTATATTTTTTTCTTGTGTACTCAGAACCTTTGGGATTAAAGGCTGTAGAAAATTTCACAGGACTGTGAATGTTTTTGTTAGGTTAGTGAATCATTATATTAAAGAGAAGGAGAACTTCGTGTGTGACTGAGTTGCGCAGCTATGGCCAAGAAGATATCCAAATCCCAAATAAGATTTGGGGATTATTGTATTTTAGATCGTAATTGTCTCTATTCACCTTCCTATGTGGAATGGATTATTGAGTGCTGATTAGGTTACTCGTAGCCCCTGCTTTAAAAACTAGAAACTCAGTTTTGATATTTTTGCTAAAATATTTGCTACCAACACCGCACACACCCCATGCAAGTGACCAACCCAACTCAACAATCCTATTTATTACATTATACTACAATTAATATTAAATTAGTTCTGAGTAGCATATCATTTCTAGCAAAAAAAAAAAAAAAGACATACCTTTTAGATGAAATGCTATATAGAGTAGCGCAGATCTCTGTACACTTAAGAAGGGGAATTTGGGCTTTAAGCATCCTGCTGCATTCATGGCTTTAATTAGAGCCGTTGCGATACCCTGCAGGTAGGGAATGGATTATGTGTATATTTGAGTTTGTTTTATTTTCTTTTGTGGCAAATAGATAAAGAGGTTAGTTATTCTTTGCCTCAAATAGCCTCCTGGGGTTGAGGATGGAGCTTACAAAGATAGTTAAATGAGCTCTTAGCCGGCAGGACTAAGAAACACAAAATACATTGGATTAGGAAAAATAAAAACTACAGATTGGCTTAGCGCCAGCTAGGTGATGGCTACGTGGGTTTCATTACACAGTTCTATTTTTATATGTTTGGCATTTTCCATAACAAAAAGTTAAAAAAGAAAGGAGGGGACACTGGGCTTTGAGTTGTCTTGGCCCATCTCTGCTTCCATTGCTCAGAACTGGCCAGCTTGCCTCCCACTCTCAGGACCCTGGGCCACCTGACCAGGAATTCCAGAGACCACATTTATCACTGCAGTTGAGATTCTGGAGCCCCAAGCAGGAAAAGAAGAGAACACCCTTTTCTGGGTGAGTGTCATCTTGCCTTTTGATATTAAACTAGATTGAAAGCTAACCATCTAGGGGAGCTGAAAAAAAGCAAAGTTAGGGTTAGGAATTTGTAAGAAAGGTATGAAATTGTGCCCTAGGCAACTGTTTTATAGAAAAAATTTTTTTAAAACCCTTTAAAATAGTGGTTGGCTACTGATAAATTTGACTATATTCAGAAAGAGGTATATTTAGAGAAATAAGATGTGATTGAGTAGATAGCTTCATCCAGATTTTGAGCAAAATATGTGTTTGGTGGTTCAGTTGTGGTGACACCTCAACTCAACTCTTTTGAGCGGGGAAAAAAACCTCTTAGAGACTGAATTTACACATTTCAAATTAAGAAAAAGTTTTACAGACACTGAAATTCAAAATAAGAAACAAACTGCAAGTCAGAGGTAAATAATTATCTTACTCTTTTTTCACTGTAGTGCAGGTATTTGGGAATTAGCTATGGAAACAGGGGCTTTTCTCACATTTTATTTTCATAACCACTCAAAACCAAAATAGGTTAAAAGTGGATTTGCAGGGCTTCCCTGTTGGCGCAGTGGTTGAGAGTCCGCCTGCCGATGCAGGGGACACGGGTTCGTGCCTCGGTCCGGGAAGATCCCACATGCCGCGGAGCGGCTGGGCCCGTGTGCCATGGCCGCTGAGCCTGCGCGTCCGGAGCCTGTGCTCCGCATTGGGAGAGGCCACAACAGTGAGAGGCCCGCGTACCGCAAAAAAAAAAAAAAAAAAAGTGGATTTGCAGCTTAAAATCAGGAAACTCTGCCTTGAATTTCATTGTTACCAAAATAAAAATTATTGTTAAAGAAGAGATTGCTGTAGTCTTCTAAAATCTATGCATAGAAACTCATGTAAGTGAACCTGTTCGAGATATCCAGGCAAAGGCAGACTAGTGAGATACATCGGTTCCTTTAATGGGGGAAGTTTGTAAGGAAGCTTCTGATCCCAGTATTTCAGTGGCGACCTAAGAACACAAAATCCATTAGACAGATGCCCACAGATGTGCTCATTGTGTGTACACAGGAAGGTGGACACACAAGAGACAGCTGAAAGATAATGTTCACTGCCTGTTTTTCTCCCATGGAGAAAATGATACAAGTGGGAAGACTGGGGCTCCTAGAAATTCATGACGGCCAGCTTCGCCTGGGTCCCTAGCCCTGCTCAGCTCTCCTCAGTGTTCTTATTTTTCACAGCAACTATATAAAGCTTCCTTTATTGCCCTCACATTTCTAACCCTCCCAGTAACCCCCACATGGGGGCCAGGCTATCCAAGGAGAAGCATCAGAATGAAACTTCCTCAACTGCTCACCACAAGCAGAGCCACACATAGGCTCCTTTCTCCACGCTGGAGCTTACCTCCCAGCTAAGATCAGTCTCCACACATTCTTTGCATCCCTGTTCCACCCTCTCTCCAGAAATCTTAAATAGCAATTTCTCTCTCTCCCACCTTCGGCATTTCCTTCTTTATTGGATCCTTCCCAGGCACCTGCATTTTAACATGCTCGTACCTTTCCCATTGAAGAAAAAAGAAAATCCTTTTTTCACTCCTTCACTCCTTGAGTCCTATATCCTTTCCAGCAATTAATGTCTTTTCTCTTTTTACTGTTAAATTTCTTCAAACATTGATCTTCACTAGAGGTCACAAACTACTGCACAAATTCTATCTGCAGATGTGATTTGATCCACATTGTAATTTTTAAAAAATGGAATCAGTCACAAAAGTTTAAAAATCAGATAAATGTAAGAAGAAATTTGGTTTCCAGCTTCTTGTGAAAAACAGAAATGTGTGGCAGTAGGTAAGTAACTGCTACCCCTTCAGCTATGTGTATGTATCTATGCACGCGTGTGTGTGTGTGCACTCACATATGTATCTATCCCAGCATGATGCAGTCAACATAGATATTCAGTAAATGTTTGTGACTTAGTGAATGGTCTCACCTCAGAAATTTCTCAAGTTTTTCTCTACTCTCACAGATATATATACGATCACGATATTCTAAAGCATAGTGAATGCTACCAGGTACTAGGGCTTCGTATCTGAAAGACAAAGGAACAAACAAAAACAACTATGTATTGTATAATTAATATGCAGTACCGTACAAATAAAGTGTCAAAATATTTTATTTTTCTATCTTTGCCGCTCAAGGAAGAAATAGAACATTTTCCAGTTAAGCAATAGTGACCTTTTGATCAAAATGTTAAGACTGTTATATGGACCACTTATTCTGAGTAGAGCTATCATCCTGTACTTGCACGAGAGCAAGGACTTGCCTTTGTTTGCCATCCTGATAGGTCACTGGACAGTAGCCCTGGAGCTCGGCACACTTAGGGAACCGGCTCTTCAGCTCCGACAGTGTCAGCTTTTTGGGCATCATGTCGGCAGACGGGAGAGGATGAGGTGCTAATGGAGGCACGTATAATTCGGGGTTCTCCAAAAATCTCTATAAGAAAAGATTACAGCAACGTGACCGCTTGAGACAGGAATACTATGCCAATGAGAATCCACTGAGGCTCTCTTGCTACTGTCCCCATTTTCAGTAGCAATGTTCGTCCTTCAAACCATCTGAGAGCTGCTTTCTGAACTACTATAGCTCCTTCCATGACTGCAAGTGCCTTATAGTAATACTTGCAAGTGATTTCATGTAAGGTCTCTCCTACTTTCACTCACTCACTCACTCACTCACTCACTCATCTACTTATACAGAAAACATTTGCTGAGCTCTTACTATGTCCCAGGCACTGGAGTGCATAGTCTTCCTGTCCTACAGTATAACTAACTAGGTGGGTGCCCTTTGGCAGGTGAATTAGCTTCTCCAGCTTCAGTTATCACTCTAAAATGAAGGGAGCAGACCAGGTACATGACCTCTAATGTCATTTCCAGTTTTAAAATTCTGTGATTATCATTTAAATAAGCAGGAAGAAATAAATGTCTTTTTCTTAAAGTGATAAAAAATTCAAATTCTTCAGAGGAAAATAAAATGTTCAGAGGCACCTGATTAGTTTTCAACTACAACCTTTTTATATCACCAAATTATGGTCATTGTAATATCAGAACAAGTCTGCATTCTGTTGCATTAAATAGCAATATATGGTACACAGGAAATTAAAGTGATAGAAAAAAGTTGAAAGCACAGGAGACGTACGTCGGTCTTACTTCATTTCTACTGACTCTGACTTCCCTTCTGCACCCTTTGAATGGAATCCCCACCCAGATGCTCAGCATCCCCTTCACGGGCGGGCTCACCCTTGGGTCTCCCTACCTGTTAAGCTGACCCAGGTGGAGGGTCCATCACTGACCCTGAACTTCTGCTTTGTGCCAAAATATGTCTTGGGATGCAGTCTTAGGACTGGACTCTGAGTTGCCTCATTGAATCCAGGGTCACAGTTTCCAAAATTGGGTCTCCTGGTCCCCAATTCCTGGGTGTTCCCAGCTGTGCCCACCCCTTCCTGTTTGGTGAATTCTGAGGCCGGTATTTTATTTTCCTGGTAAATACTTGGAGTTAGGAACAAACTTACATTCAATTTCTCCTGAGAACTCATTTTATAATAGTGCCCTCTGAACTCTGCTGCAAATTCCAAGGAATCAGTTAAAGAGCAATCAACTAATTCATGTGATTCTGCCAGGCTGACAGGGCAGAACTGTCCAAATTCGCCCAGGCGAGAAATCAGTTCTTCAGGTGAGATACATAACTTGTCAATGCAGGCGGCTTTTCCTGTTATTAACAGATTAACTATTATTTTTTTTTCAGAGAAAACACAATCATTTTCAAAATGAAAATAATTTCAATTATGCTAGTACTATACAAAGGAGTACACATTGTAAAATTCCACAGAGTAAAAATTTCTCTTCACACCTCCATCCTCTCAATCCAACATCCCTTCTGGGAGGTAATCACTGTTGAGTTTGTATCTTTTTCAGATTTTTTTATACATTTGCATATACACATATATTTTTTGCATATAAGATGCTTGTGCCACTATACTGTAAACATTATTCTGCAACTTGCTTTTATCAGTTAGTCATGGCCTTTGACACCTTTCCATATCAGTTTATATGATTTACCTAATTCCTTTTAATTTATGCACAGTATTCCACTGTATAAATGTACATATAGTTTAGTCAACCAATTATCTGTTGATAAATGTTTTGGTTGTTTTTAATTCTTAGCTATTATAAACTATCTATATGTTATAAACAATATATATGTATATACATACACATATATGTACATGTATATATACATAGCCACTTACACACACACATCAATTTGCTACATATTTAAATTTTTTCTATGGGATAGATTTCAGGAAGTGAAAACAGTTTGTTGACATGATGTTACTGACACAAACCTCTCCCTGTGCCCTGATGGCTCCCAAGACAGGGGAAGAAACATTTTCCCAAAAGTAACTAGGTTTACCCTAACAACTCTATTTAAAAAAAAAAAAGCCCCCAAATTCATTCAATGGACAAGTTTAAGAGTTTTCTCTCTAGTATTCCACTAGAATGGGGACTCCAAAACAATATGAGATGTTACAGAAAATAAAAATACTTTTTTATACATCTTAACTATAATGAGTAAATTTTGATCCCAATATATTTTGTTAATGGTCCTTTTCAACCAGTGAAAAGTTTCACTTTTTTTTTTTATTATGCCAAGGAAGGTCTTACACTAACACTAAAATTATGAAGAATAAATCATGGATTAATTTGTTATGTGACAGTGTAAACATAAAAGTAATCCTTAGGATTGGAGTGATGTGTCTATAAGCCAAAGAATGCAGAGGATCGCTGGCAACACTGGAAGCTAAGAGAGAGAAATGAAACAGATACTCCCCTTGAGCCTTCAGAGTGAGGACAGCCCTGCCAATGCCTTGATTTGGGGCCTCTGGCCTCCAGAACTGTGAGAGAATACATTTCTGTTGTTTAAGTCACCCAGTGTGTGGTAATTTGCTACAGAAGCCTTGGGAAACTAAGACAGGTACATGAGACTATGGTTTCTGTCCTGTTGGCATTCTTTCTTGCCTTATCTTGTTCACTTGGTATAGCAAGCTGCCATGTTGGAAAGGTCCATATGGCAAGGAACTGAGGGTGGCCCCCGGCCAAACAGCTGGCAAGAAACTGAGGCCCTCAGTCCAACAGCCTTCAAGGAACGAAATCTTGTCAACAATATAAGAATGGGTATGATAGTGGATTCTTTCCCATTAGGGCCCTCAGGTGAGATCTTAATCCTGGCCCACACCTTGACTGTAGCCTTGTGAGAGACCCTGAAGCAGAGGACCCAGTTAAGCTGTGCCTGGATTCCTGCCCCACAGAAACTGTGAGTGACTGTGTGTGTGTGTTGTTTTAAGCTGCTAAGTTTCGGAATAATTTATGAAGCAATAGACAAATGAGTCCACTATTCCATCCATTGTTTATGATACAAATGAAAAGGCTAAGAAGCCCCAACCATCCTTTCCTAAAAAGAATATTACACTACTGTAATACTACCTTGGTGTAATATTATTCTAAAGTATTACAACGCACAGTACTATGGTATAATAATAGTGTTGTTAAAGTATATAGTGTTATATAGTCCTATAATATTATACTATATGGTACTATATAGTTTTACACTTGTACGTTGCTCTTTAGCTCAGATGTGCTGACCTCACCAATCCTGACAGGTTTAGTGACAGGGTAATTTAGACTCAAATCACTTTAAGTCCTAAAAGACACTCAAGTATCTCTTTTTCTGATTCTTGGGATAGTCTTGATGACATCTGGCAATGTCTATATATCCTTTTCTGGAATGTGGCAGAATGAGGAGGAATTTCTTTAGTTTTCTAGCCCTGACCTTGCTCCATCTCATTAGTGAGAATAAACTGGGCCCCTGACAGGGGAGGGTTATTTGAATAACATACAAAGCAAGTGGAGAATATAAAAAAAAAAAATCAAAACTAAATTCAAACAATCAGGTATAGATTATCAGGTAGATGCTAAAGCAGGAAAGCAAGAGGGCAGCTTCAATTAGATTAAACTATTCAAGGCAGAGGCAAGTATATCCGGAATAATGTAGTGGATACTGTGGTGCCCCATACGCACCCCTCTCTTCAGGGCTGATGCACCCACCCCCCAGCTGCTGGAAATATCTGTGCTAACGGATCACAGCTGCACTGGGAATGGCCCCTCTGTTACAGGTTACACCCCCTCCTGGAGTGACCTTTGGTCAATGACAAGCCAATGGGAGGATATAAAGCCTGGCCTCTCCCCTCAGTGTGGGAAATTTTGAAGGTCCATCCTAGCTCTAGTGCTTCCCTATAGCATCCAGGGAGGCTTCTGTTTCCACCACACTGCAGGTTAGTTTCTCCCTCTGCTCGGTTCTACTAGCCTCACTTCCCCACAGGTGTATCTCCTAATTACAGTTGACATAAAATACAGGATGCCCACTTAAGTTTGCATTTCAGATAAACAACGAACAGTTTTTAGTATAAATATGTCCCATACATTTGGGAAATAATTAGACTAAAAAATTACTTGTCATTTATCTGAAATTTAAATTTAACTGGGCATCCTGTATTTTTATTTGCTTAATCTGGCAACTCGACTCCTGAGGCTATTTCCTGATAAAGCTTCCGCACACAACTTTTCATCATGAGTCTGTTTTCAGGCAACCCAATCTGAGGCAGGAAAGGTGAAGTAGGGTAACAGAAAGATGAATGAGGCACAAGTTTTGCTTTCAAAGCCTGCTGTGGAATGTTCTACTAGTGTGATGCTATCCAAAACTTATTGGGAGTAGGTTTCTAAAACTCAGTTCTCTCTTCCCTTGCACCCTTATCTTCATCCCTTGTAATCCTCAGGTGAAAACAAATTCTCAGTCTGCAGACAAACAGGAACCAGAGATGCTGGTGATGCCCAGATAATGAAGCAAATCAAGATTCAATGATGCCATTATTATCAGACGCCTCACTGCATTTTTCCTTGTATAAGATTCTCTGTGTCACGTTGCTCCCTCATACGTCCTTATACCTTCTCCGTATTTTCCAAAGTTAAACAAAGTCATTAAACAGATGTCTGTGAAACCCCTCCAGACAAATTCTTTGGCATCATCACTCTTTTCAGAGATATGAGATATAGATAACTTTCCTTCTATTTTGTGTATTTTTGGAGAAAAATCAAGAAACTTCTAGGAATATATAATCAAACATTTTCTTTCATGGATTCCAAATATAGATTAAAAACATTCTATGTTCAAATTAAGTTTTTAATAGAATCAACATTTACATATTACTATAATTTCATAGTAAAAATAACTAATTCTAGATTCCTAAACAAAATTTTGCCAAGTGTCACTCCACAGACCCCTGCCCTCATATAACTACCATTCTTGAAACTAGCTTCTTACGTGGCTTTCCAAACAGTGAGAGACCATGTCTTGTTTTTAGGTGATAGGTTCACATGGACATTGAATAAATGATAGCTGCCCCATACATCCTCTAGTTGGCTTGCGGGCTATGTTAATTTATAATCCTCCCTGCCATTGAACTTAGAACTAGTTATCGCCTAGAGACTTAGCTGGAGAGCTAAGCTGATAGCTTGAGTAGAGGCAGTCATTTATTAGAACAAATATACATGCCCGCATAATTGGAAAATACTATGTATTTAAAATACTGATTAAGGTCATGGGAACAAATGTTCACATTGAATGAATTATGGTAACATGAGTTAGGCATGCATAGACTTCAAATTCACATTTTATTGTGTTTTCAGAGTTACATGTTTTCTTACCTGCTTTTATTCTTCCCAGGTATATCTGTATGTGTTTATTCACTATTTTAACCTTCTTAATGACTTCATTCCATACCCACCATTTGCTGTGAAAGCCATCAATCACATACCAGTTCTGATGTTGCTCTTGATAATATTGCCTAATCTCATCAATACTTCTGCGGTACTTTGAGTTCTTGACAGCTATAATCTGTGAGCTGTTATGCAATGGATAAGGCAAACTAATAGAGAAACAGAAGGAATGGAAAAAGCTGTTAAAAACCTGCTTTTTCTGGTTGAGTAAAGTTTATTCCTTTATCATTGTTTTCATCACATACATTACCTTGGTTCCTTTTTTTTTTCCAGGAGCAATCTTTTGAAAATCTCTTTGGAAGGCACATCCAACTCAAAGATGACCATGGGGATGACTGACCTGGCTTCCAAGAGACTCACTTGATATTTAGATACAGGGTATCCATCAATGACAACACTAATAAGGAGAAACGTGAAAATAAAAATTCCAGATGTCTTTTCTCTCAGACCTTCCTTTCTGTCTTCCAGAAACAGTCTATCTTTAGGATTAGCCCCGTACTGTTCCTATGTAACTTGATTAATCTTGTCACCTTGCCCTCTTTGTCTATTTTTTTTTTTTTTGGCTGCGTGGCTTGAGGATTGAACCCGGGCCCCAGCAGTGAAAGCCCGGAATCCTAACCACTAGGCCATCAGGGAACTCCCTTTATCTCTATATTTTTAACCTCAGTCAGCCCAAGAGCCAGAAGGAGGGCTGCATACATACAGACACAGCTCTGATTCATACACTTAGCATCATAGAGCTAGGTTTTAGCGGACTTCGAGAGATAATACATATAATACCTTGAACATTGTATTACTTAATTGGTGCTACTATTCTAGCATGAAACAGTGGAGAGAGTATAGGCTTCAGAGGCACACAGACTTAGATTTGAAACCTGGTCTGACCTCTCTGAGCCTCAGTTTTCAGTAAAAATAGTAAAATAATGATATTTAACACTTAGAGTTATCTTAAAGATTGTAGATCAAGTTTGTAAAGCAATTAGTAATAGACTAATGGACATTCCTTATAAAAGAATGGCCAGCAAGGGAAGAATTATCCAACCCTGATCTTAATGTTGTAGTTTTATAGCAAACAGATAGTGTAAAATTTTTGTACTGAAAGGTCAGTGGCAGTAAGACAAGGTGTCTTGTAAATCAAGATTTTAAGAAGTACATTAAAATGTTTTAAAATTAAAAGAAAAAAGGTCCTGGCACAGTTATTAGTATTTTAGTAAGAGATTAAGCAAATACGGAAAACACTGTGTTCTAAGCTTGCTTTTGTAGTAAAATTCTGTGAGGAGGCTGGGTGTGGAAGGGAACATGGGGAGGTGGTGAGAGAGCCCTATGGTATCTGGGAGAGAACCATTCCATCAGGAACCATCAGGCCTCTGAGCAGAAATGATGGAGAATTTGTTAGTCCAACCGTTTAAGGTAATGAGTGTCACTAGCAAACTGAGAAGAGGGCTAAAGGCTGTCTGCAAATTCCAAAGTCAGGAAACCGGCTCTGAGGTGCCTGAGCTGGGCTTGCTGGCTGACATCACCAGGAAGGGCTGGTTAGTCCTCCCTCAGTGCTCTCCAGCTAAGTCTCTAGGCACTAACTAGTTCTAAGTTCCATGGCAGAGAGGACTATAAATTAACATAGCCCGCAAGCCAACTTGAGGATGTATTGAGCTGCCACTGTTGGTTGTTTTTTTTTAAATTTATTTATTTTGGGCTGCATTGGGTCTTCGCTGCTGCACACCGGTTTTCTCTAGTTGCTGAGAGCAGGGGCTACTCTTCGTTGTGGTGCGTGGGCTTCTCACTGCGGTGGCTTCTCTTGTTGCGGAGCATGGGATCTAGGTGTGCAGGTTTCAGTAGTTGTGGCTCACAGGCTCTAGAGCACAGGCTCAGTAGTTGTGGCTCGTGGGCTTAGTTGCTGCGCAGCATGTGGGATCTTCCCGGACCAGGGCTTGAACCCGTGTCCCCTGCATTGGCAGGTGGATTCTTAACCACTGCGCCACCAGGGAAGCCCGCCATTGTTGGTTTTTAATGGAAAGTAGCTCAACTCCTTTGTCCTGTGAAGGATCACTTGAGAGGCCCTCAGGATTAGGGAAATTCAGCGTGACTGGGCAGTCACTGTCCTGGTATTAAGGTGAAATAAAACCTTTGTGATTTAACCTACGTTGCCCTCACTAAGATCCCTCGTATGCAAAGCTGAATGCCAGGAAGGAGGTAACACAATTTGCTTAAGTCCCAGGGCCTTCTCTGGGGAAAAAACTTGACATTCCAGAATCTGCTCCCCGATAACTGAAATTAGAACTGTCAAGGACTTGATTAAGGACCAGTGGTAGGGAAGGGAAAGGAGGCTCCTAATATAAAACAGCCTTGAGTAAATAAGCAAGATTTTAAGTCAGTGATCTGGGCTCAAGAGCAGGGCCTTAGGTTTTATCGGCTTTTACTACTGGCTGGGACCACTGGCTGTGCCAGGGAAGCATGGTGGAGCGGAGGAGTGTAAACTGAAGACCAGTTCAAGCACAGGGCTCTCCTGTCCAAATGCAGCATCAAGGGAGGGGCGCTGCTTCCTGTGCAGAGAGCTGGGCCAGAGAGAGACCATCTCCACGGAACCAGTACCACCTGGGGGGACAGGGGAGGGCCATGCCTTCATCACTCCATGGGGCAGTGAGGAGTTCTGCTGGGCTGTGGAAGTCGCACAGGCCTCCCTTATGGATTGTGTAAACCTGGAGGCTCCTGGACAGCTCAGGGGTTGCTGCAGGGAGGGAAGTGGCCTGTTGGCTCTTCTGGTGTTCAAGCCGAGGTTTAGCTTGACAGAAAATTAAAACATGTAACCATATAGGTGTCCAGAGTTTGAAAAGCACATCACGCACACTTTACAAGAGCTTTAAACCCTGTTTACGATTAAGTGTTTTACATTCCAGTGAGTAATTTCTTCAGAGATGTAACTCCATCCCACTCCCTCTCCACCTCCACGGCCCCCACTTACCCTGCAGTGTTACTTATACTTTCCATCAGAGATAATTCTAAGGCCTGGACAGCCAGTTCATCAGGCACTGTCATTCCTTTATGAAGATGCCAATTTAGCATAAGTGCCAGCTCTGTGTCTGGTTGGTGGTTTAATACATAACGCAGAGCATCTCCTATTGACAAACGCTTTAAGCCATAGTCACTTGAAATTTGTTTGGCAACTGAAAAACATTAAAACTTTAAACTTACTCCATTTCACAAATTCATCAGTTAATCTCAGATTCTGGTTAATTGACATCAACAGCAAGCTAGTCTTCACATTCCTCAAAGAAATTTCAAAAATTAAAATTGCTACATCTTATTGAATTAATACTGTTCAAAGGTCGATCATTATTAGCACTTCAGGTATGTGGCTGATGGGTCTGGTTAATGAGCCAACTCCGTGAGGTTTTCTATAACCAAACCATTGAAGTGGTTTTTTTTCCTTCTGCACGAGGTAGCAACATTTTTGAGAGCTTTATAAGGCATCCTATGTGTACTATTAATATTTGGTATTATGTCCAAAATAACAATTCAGTGCTCCTCGCGTCACCGGATTAAACCATTTCCCTATCTGCCCATTTACGGACTCCAGGCTGCAATCAGGCTAGCTTACCCTATACAGTTAATCCTTAGGAAGTAATTTTTAAAAATTATAATGGCATATCTGACATTTTAATAGTAATTTACAGCTTATGAGGTAATATTTCTTCTGTGACTTTCTCTGATATTTTCAACTATTCCATCAAGTGTGTAGAGTGGGTATTGAAGTTCCAATTTTATAGATGAGAGAACTGCAGCCCACTGCAATGGAATAATTTGTCCAAGGGCACATAGATGTTGCCATTTGTTGAAAGAGGACTCAGGCTTGGCCTCTGCTTCTGCTAAGTGAGACCACAGATAATAGCTTCCAGTTACTGTTAAATGTGGGTGTGCTCTGACAGGGTCTACAGACCCTGCTTCATCATGGTCTGGAGACAGCAGTGTGTAGAGGACACTGAGGCTCATCTGGTCCCACGGGGAATACAGGTTAACTGGCCACAATTAGGGCCACCCGGCAGCAACTCCCCTGTGAGGGCCGCAGAAGGCTTCATCTCAGCTTTGCCACAAACGCGAGAGTCACACCTATTTTTCTTAAGCTATGAAAACAATTAAGCATTTACAATTTGGCATTCTGTTTAAAGATTAACCTCTATTTCAACAAAAATCGAGGAATCAGATTGTCTAATCTACATTTTACTTTTTGCTGTGGTTGTAGGATCTTGAATGTCAATGTACAGCTTTCTTTGGGAAATATCATTATCTTTGTGAACTTTTAGAACACAACTATTAAAGACTCTTAATCATGTTAAGACGTTTAAATGGGGAAAACACACTTTTCACCTGAAGAGCTAAAACACAAAACTCCCTTTTATTATTTCTGGTGAAAGTTAATCTTTGACCTCATCTCTCCCCTTCATTCTCTATGCCTTCAGTCATTAAGTCCTGTCATTTCCTTTTTAAATATCTCTGGTATCTGCCCTTTCCCATTTTATTATCATTGCGACCAACCGCTGTTCATGTGGTTATCATGTCACACGTCATCTTGAAATACCACACTCACCTATTGTTGGACTATTTGCCTTAAAAAAAAAAGTCTCAAGATATAAAAAATTCAAACATTATAGTTTACCAAATTCCTTTTTCAGTAATGATTAAGATAATGGATTTTCACTCTTTAACTTATTAATACAGTAGATTATATTTATAAAATTTTAAATATAATTTTTATGCTAATAAAATCTTAATATAACTGTTATTTGACTTTATCTATAAATAATATTCATTTGTAATTTCTTTTTTTTGTATTATCTTTGTTAGGTTTTGATATCAGGGTCATGCTAATTTAAAAATGAATTTATATTTTTTATACATTTTTAATTGTATGGACTATATTCTTTACTTTAAAAAAAACTGAAAATAAATTGGTCAGTTTACTTTCTTTTCCCTTGCTCTGGAAAAGCTTATAAAAACACAGTAAGTATCTCTTGAATTTTTAATTCTTTGAAAGTGTGACATAATTTTCCTCCAAAACCATTTGATTCTGGGCTGTTTTGGAGTGGGGCTATATTTTTGAATGTCTTCTCCTCAATGGTTATTGGCCTATTTACATGTTCTGTCTCTTTTTGAGTCAGTTTTGATAGTTATCTTTCTGGAAAAGTGGTCCTGGTCTTCAGGAGATTCTTTTATGCTTAAGGATAGTAAAGGCAAACACACCCTTACCTGTAGTTTTCCCAGATTTTGGAGGCCCCAGAAGTGCAATCCTAATGGGCATAGTAGGCTTAGGTTTGGGTTGGCGGATATATTTGATTGGGTTCTTCATAAATTTTTCTTTAGTTTCCTTACTAGATAAAAAATAAATATACTGACGATGGATTACAGGATGAAGTAGATTCTCTGAATTTTCAACTGGCTTGATTGTCTCTCCTTCACTTAGCTGCAATATATGCAAAACTGAATTAATAAATTAGCTTTATTTTAAACAGCATTTCCCCCAAATACCCTTAAAAAAACAAATTTGTAAAATCTTTCTTATAGAACAAGAAAACTAATTATAATCAAGTACTGATATTAAAAAACTGTAAAAAGAATGAATTATTTTATACTCATATGGAATAAATGTAGTTTTTCTTAAGTGTTCCAGTTTCTGACAACTATAGTTATTCTACTTCCTTTATAATGTGTTTAGCATATACTGAATGTTTCTGCCAAGTAGTGTAAAGGTGTTTGGATATATTCATGGGCCAATTTATCTTCACAGACAGGTCCATTCCTAAGGTGGCGTAATGTACAGAAATGCGTCCTCCCAAAATCATGGTTTGAAGCCCTAACCCTCAAAGTTACTGTATTTGGAGACAGGGCCTTTGAGGGGGTAACTAAGGTTAAATGAGGTTATAAGAATGGGGCTCTAATCTGAGGACTGGTGTCCTTATAAGAAGAGAAAAGAGACACCAGGAGTGCATGAGCACAGAGGAAAAGCACTGAGGACACAGTGAGAAGTGGCCATCTACAAGCCAGGAAGAGAGGCCTCACTAGAAAAACCATCCCTGCTGGTACCTTGATCTTGGACTTCCAGCCTCCAGAACAGTGAGAAAATACATTTCTGCTGTTTAAGCTACCCAGTCTGTGGTATTCCATTATGGCAGCATGAGTAGACTAATACAGGTGGGGTCCTGGGTTATATATGGGAGTGCACTGGTAGGACAAATCCCACTAGCTTCTCTTCTACATTTTTATACAGACGAAATCCCACTCACACAAACATCAAGAGCAGACACAAAAGGGAAAAATACACCTAAAAGGCAGCCTAAGGTGTCGGTATGGAATGGAGAGGGAGGACTGGTCCCACATCTTTGCATTGGTGATGATGACGACTGGGTAATTAAATGGATATCTTTTTATATCATCAGATGGCCAAGCATCAGTCATCCCTGGACTTGACGGAGTAGGTGGGAAACAGTATGGTAATATTGCTCCTCCCCCAGAACTACACCAGGATGGTTGTCACAGGTCAATGGTGTTGTCAGCATCGTCATTCTTAGGCTGAAGTGATATTCATGGCTGGGAGTAAATGTTAGGGATAAGAAGAAACTCAGGGATGGGGTGGGAATGTCTGCTCTATTTCTTATATTTGGTAGTAAAAGAAAAGCTGAAAGTTTAATGATTCCATTTCAGATTCACAAATTAAGTGTGAATTCTTACAATAGTTTCTGCTATTGCCCAAAATATCTAGCATGTATCTTTCTTCTCCATAGGTCAGAATACCCAAGGTGTCATCAAATCAGAAACATCAAGTGGTCAGGCACCCAGAAAGATTCCCAACAGCCCTGAAAAAATGATTTATATGCTTAAACCCTTCCTATGACCACGCAGTCATTTCTCCACAAGGCATCTTTATACAATCCTAATTATGTTTGGACATGGGTCCTTAAATAGGGTTCTGACTTTGATTGCTTCTTCCCCTCTCTTGTCCATCTCAAAGAGAAGGTTAGGGTGTAACTATTTTTCAAAAGCTTTCTAGGTGATCCTAATACATGCTTAACTTTATCTGATTCTCTATGGAGGGAACGGTCTTAATGTTTCTATATTTCAGCATGATATTTGAAAAGGTCTCTCTTGACATCCTTACAGTGAAGGTAAAGAAGATATCACAATTAAGTAGAATTGAAACTGATTGTATCAACATCAGCCAGGAAGGAGGTTTCAAGTAATATGCACATGGCTCCATTTTGGATCCCTTCCTCCAAAATACTTTTTATCAGTGACCAATACACGTTAATAACAACAACTTATATTAATTGAGCATTCACAATAAAACAAGCACTGCTGCAAGCACTTTACAATAATTAACTGATTTAGTAATTGTAACAATATCATGAGGTAGGGACTATTCTTATTCCCATTGTGCAAATGGGAATGGCTCAGAGAGGTGAAGTAATTTGTCCAAGGTCACTCAGCTAGTAAGTGGTGGTTTTGAACTCAGGCAGTCTGGCTCGAGAGGCCATGGTCTTCTCCACTGTGCTACTTCACTGATGGAAATAAGAAGGTACACTGGTTGAGAGGGCAGGTCACCTTTATGTGACATTCTTTTATTGTCTTTATAGCACTTAATACAACCTGACAAGAACTTATTTGTTTACTTATTTATTGCCTATCCTCCCTCTCCAACCCAACTAGAATATAAGGCCCATGACAAAGGAACCTTGTCTGTTTTATTCACTGCTCTATTCTCAGGGACTGACACAGTGGCTGGCGTGTCCTTGATTAAGATTTGTTGAAAACCATCCCACATTTGAAGTTACTGAATTCCAATTACATTAAATGTTTGTCCACACTGCCTAAAAATACAATGCTTAGAAATAAGTTTGTGACGAACATTAAAGGCACATTTTGTATGGGATCTCACACTTTCCAGAGAATTTTATATTCTTGCATTTGATCACAGTGGCCTGATGGCAGTATTCTCCCATCTTAAAGGTGAGGAAGCAGAATCAAAGAGTTTAAAGGACTTGCCTAAAATTAGATAGCAAATTGTGTCAGAGCTCAGCTCGCTAGATGTCTAGTTTGAAAATATTTCTACTACCATCTTCTGCTACAGAGTTAAAACCAAGTTGGAACTGGATGATCTTTACAGAAATAGATGAAAGAAATTTAAACCCTTCAACTACTTTCCTACTTCAGAAAGGCGAAACAACCACACATATTTTTATAGCTAGCTAAGAATACTATACAATGCTTACAATTTTTTGAACTTATCCACTGTCTTCTTAGACATGCTTAAAAAAAAAAAAGAAACAAGAGAAAGAACATGGTTTTCAGATGCATTTGCTGACATTACCTTTACAGGGTCCCAGTAGCCAAATGAGCTTATATACTTGTAGGTAAAGCTGAGCATTTTCTGGGCAAGGCGGGACGATATTGGATAACATTTCTCGAAAATGCTTGCACGATTCTCCACCAGTGGTTTCAGTTTCATATTCAATATGTATTGTACAATGTGGGTTTTCCGAGCTCCATTAATGAGAATTACTGGTATCAAAAACTTCTCAAATTCTTCCTAATGAAAAAAAATCATAAAACCAAATATTTTTAGTGGGAAGGAGGCTGGCAGTATTTAGTTACAGCACATGGACATTGCTAGTAACTGATTACTTCAGTCTAGAGAACAAATATTTTTCAGCTTCCAAGTAACTGCAGGTTGGCAGCTAAAACTTTGACCCTATGTGGCTTCCATGTTGCCCTTGATTTATTAACTGGTTTTTATAATTGTAAATGGTGCTGACGAAAGGGACCTAACCCCTAAAAATATACATTTCTTTTGAAATGTTAAAAAGAAACCAAGGCATAGACCAAATTGCTTTTGTTTCATTCTCAAACGTTATTTTTTGAATTATGAAAAATGAAAAAGTAATAACCTGTATTATTTGTAAATTATTCGTATCTGCTTCAAATTTTTCTCCCAGTTCACCTCTCAGGCGTTCGAGCGCATCAATTTCCTGCTCTTCATCTTCCTCACTCATCACTTCCTCATCTTTTGGAAATTCATCAAGGATGTTGTCAATATCATCTTCCTCATCTTCAGGTTCTTCCTCGCTCGTGTCTTCATCTTGTCTAACAGTCTAAGGAAGAAAATATTCCCTTTTACTATACGTATAAAATATGGAACAAATGACACTGCTAACTAATCATCTGGGATATTTTGGAATAAGCGGGTATTGGTTAGTATGGCATGCAATGTTCATCAACTGATATAGTAAAATTTCAAATATCTGGCACCCAAGAAATTTAATGCCTTCAAGACTCTAATACCATGGTGATCCCATAACTAAATACCTAGACAAGATATTAACTGCTAATATTTAATGCTATAGTTGTCAGAACATTACCTGTTTCTCATGGTCTTCAGTAACAATATTTAATGCAACTCAAAGAGTATATAAAACACTCCCTAGCTGTGTTAGCTTGGACAAAACCAGTTTCCTCGTCTGTAAAATAGGAGTAAGGAAAGTACCTCCCTCACATGGTTGTTGGTAGTGCTAAAATAAGTTAATACATGCAAAGCCCTCAGAAAACTGTCTGGTACATGGTAAGCATGCAAATGATAGCTGTTATTTCTATTATTATGCTGTTATAGTTATTATTGTCATTTTGTATAAAGCACTGTTCTAATAGAATAGTACACGCCCCTGAGGAGGCTGCAGCTTATCTGAGGAAACCAGAATTAACACATAAATGATCACTGAAGACCACGACAGGATACTGATACTAAGTGGTGTTGTATAGGCTCGAAGTGCTACAGTCCAGTTTGCGTAACACTGAACCCTGTCCTACCGATCCTCCTGCACTGCCTCTATGCACGTCGCCCAGAAGTATCCCTTGTCCCGGATGGAGCACTGCCTTCCCGTCGGAAACCTGGGAGTTATCTTGACTCCTCGCTCTCCATTATTGCACATCCAGTTTCTAAGAACAGGAATCCTAAATAATACTTAAGACTCTCTCCTACTTTCTAGTCCTGCCCTACTGTTTGCCCTCTCATTACCTCTTGCCTGCACACTTCTGATTAGCTCGCTATTTCCTGATCTTTCTAACTGATTAGACCCTGGTGCCTTTAAAGGCGCCTGGAGCTAGGATTTGGACTTGCAGGTGCCGGGAGGAAGAAGAGAGGACAAAGGGCCCTTCCCTGTTCTGTGCCCAGGCTCCTCTTTCCCCGGAAGGAGTTCGGTGTTGGAACTATGTTTCTCAGTTCTTATTCTTTTTTATTTGAATTTTGAAGCCATTTGGTTCTCTTACTACTTTTTCCTTTTTCTTATATTTTGACAATTTTTTAGTTTGAGATTTGATTTGCTAACGATCACTGGAGGCATGGTGGGATGAGTCCACACTACGAGCTGCAGACATCTTAGTTTCAGATGAACTTTTGCTCACCTCTCCAGCTCTATTTAATAGCTCTTCCAACTTGTTTTTTAATTAAAAAAATTAAACTATATAAGTTTAACAAGAAACTTTCAATTAATTTAAATGCTATATTCTAGTTTCCATGAACTTTTTTTTTGCTCTCTGGTTTTTCATACCATCCTGTTTTTGTTTTATGGATACAAGTTCTTGAATTATTTAAGGCAAATTGGAATTTTTTAAATGTTTAATATATTTCCTGTATTGTCTATTTGTTTTAGAGTCAATTATTCTGTTTGTTCATCTTGGTTCTTCCTTGTATTGATAATTTCAAATATATGGCAATCCTTGGTTGTCTATTCATTTTTATGAATGAAGGACTAAACTGATTAATTCAGGGCAACTGTAAGCTCTGGGTATGTGAGCAGGACAGGTTGTATCATGCTTCCATTTAAGATGTGAGGATGAGAAGAGGCAGGCAGGCTGGATCTTGTCCCAGATGATGAAGAGTACCAACCAACATTCTGTGGACCTAGAATTTTCTAGACAGATTAATTACTTTAGAAATTATTTACTTTTTTCTTCATGGGGACAAATGTCACTGCTACATAAGGAGCTGGTGGGATCAACCTTAAAAAATTTTTCTGCAATTTACCCTCTTGGACTTTCTAGATAATCAAATATGTGCAAATATTAAATTTTGTTCTTACTTTTCAATATGTATGCTGTTTCTTTTTCTGATCACGTTGCTGTGGCTAGTTCCTTTAAATTTTTTAAAAGGTTAATAGCCTAAAAATCTTCATAGAAGACCATCTGAGAGACCCACAGGTTAATTCTTTTTAGAGAAAAAGGTTTTAGTTTTCTGTAAGTGGCATTTTGGTCCTCTGGAACAGTGCTGCTTTTTTTTCTTATATCTAGTATCTTTCAGTACTTACGTTAGGAGATACATGTTCTAAAATTCATCGTCTCAGAGATCTGCCTCCAGTATGAAGGAATAAGTTCATTTAGCCTCTAGCAGATAATAACCATAAGCCATGGACAACACATACACACACATTTTTTTCCCCTCTCTCTTGCTCCAGAGGGCTTCTGGAGAGTGAACAAAGGCAGATTTTGTAGAGTAGTCAAAATTTGGAGGGAGCGATAGGCTTAGGGTCAGTTCTCTTATTCTGTGCATTTGCGTGGAAGGCAGCCTCCATTAGAGTGGTGGTGGCAGAGGGGGACTAAAACTCTGATAGAAAGCTCTGTCTTTTGTCACCTACAAATTGGCACTTGCCCTCTACCTCTATAAGAATTAAATTATGAGCTGCTGCAGCTGCTGACCTTCAACAGCCCTGGAAAGAAGTTCAGGATGGATCAGAAATGAGGCACTCTGTACTCTAGAAAAAACTGGCAGAACAGGTCTTCAGATAGTTAGATATTTTCAGGAGATGATTTTATGAGCCCAATTCTTGCATCTCCTCATATCTAGAAAAGTGATAAAATCCTTCACGGCTACTCCTGGCATTCTCCTGCATGTGGCTACGCTACACTTGGTAAAAGGGACCCAGGCACCAGAGAAAGAGCTAGTGTACAGGACAGGGCAAAGATTCTGGAGCTAGGGGTAAGAGTAGAAGCAAGCCCTCCAAGGAATTGGAAGATATGCATTGTGAATCTGTATGAAGCCACTGGTTTACAGAATATTCTTGAGTCACATTTGGAGACTAAAATTCCACATGATGGCGACATTTTCCTATAAAATTAATGGAAGTAGTCACCTTGAGACTTTGAAGTGATTTCTAATGTTAAAAGTGTTTTATTTGTTGCTAAAAAGTCAGACAGCAAAGGCAATAATGTTGAGGCTGAGAAGACAAACCTGGGAAGGGCTTTATCTGCATATGGTTCCCTAACTGCTTGGGAAAAAGGTGAGTCAAGAAACTGCATGTTTCTGTACAGAGAGGCAGATGATGAGAAGACCCCTGGTTCTGTGCATGAAAGCAAAGCCCCAAGGTCCATGTGGAGTCAGGATGGATTCAACTCAGGTTGTCACATTAACTGATTATAACAATTGTACTAAGTGATCCTTGAGATGCTGCACTGTGTTTAGTCTTTCCTTGTCTGAGGCAGTAGCAGTGCATATAAAATTCCCATCAAAAAAGTTAAAAAAAAATACATAGTTTTAATCTCAGAAGATCTCATTAAAATATCTCAGGAATTGTCTTCCAAAAGTCAGTTTGTATAAATTAATTGTGGGAGATACATAGCCAATTTTTATAAAAGATTAAGTCTCAGAAGAGCTAACTTACAAAATCTTAGTTTGTTTATAAGACAGAATATTTTATCTGAGGTGCTTGGCTGTAGCATTTGGGTCAGCTAGGTCAACTGGGGACTAGCTCCTCTCTAAACAAAACGAAATCCACGATCTTCAAGGTTTATCTTTTCAAAAAATCAGCCGATGGAAAAGAGGAGCTGTATTGAACATCCTGCACAGTATGTGACTCTGAGCGTCTACAGGCTCTGCCCCATTCCATTCTTTATCTCGAGGTAAGCTGTATTTTAGCCCCAGCACAACTTCACAGGCTCTCTGTCTAGACCTTATACCCAAGCTCCCAGCCTATCTCCCTGTAGCATGAGCTGAAGTGTGAAAAGCACAAATGAAAATCCACAAGAAGCATAGTTTAACGTAGTATTATTATATTTTGTATTAGATTATTTAAACATCTTGGTTTTCTTTCTTTTAAAATTTTTGTTTTTCTGATTATAAAAGTAATAAAAGTTCATTGTAAACAGTTATAGAATACCAAAAAGTGTAAAGAAAATAAAAATGATATATAATCTCAGAACTTGTACATAAACTCTATATCTCCATCAAGACTTCTATGCATCTTTTTGATGCTGAACATCACTAATTATTAGAGAAATGCAAATCAAAACTACAATGAGGTATCACTTCACACGGGTCAGAATGGCCATTTTCAAAAAGTCTTTGAACAATAAATACTGGAGAGGGTGTGGAGAAAAGGGAACCCTCCTACACTGTTGGTGGGAGTGTAAATTGATTCAGCCACCATGGAGGAGAGTATGGCGTTTCCTTAAAAACACTAAAAATAGAGCTACCTTATGATCCAGCAATCCCACTCCAGGCTATATTTCTGGAGAAAACCATAATTTGAAAAGATACATGCACCCCAATGTTCACTGCAGCACTATTTACAATAGCCAGGTCATGGAAGCAACCTAAATGCCCATCGACAGATGAATGGAAAAGATGTGATACATATATATTAAATAGAATATTAGCCATAAAAAGGAATGAAATTGAGTTATTTGTAGTGAGGTGGATGGACCTAGAGTCTCTCATACAGAGTGAAGTAACTCAAAAGAGAAAAACAAATACCGTATGGTAACACATATATATGGAATCTAAAAAAAAAAAAAAAAAAGGTTCTGAAGAACCTAGGAGCAGGACAGGAATGAAGACGCAGACATAGAGAATGGACCTGAGGACACGGGGAGGGGGAAGGGTAAGCTGAGACGAAGTGAGAGAGTGGCATTGACATATATACACTACCAAATGTAAAATAGCTAGCTAGTGGGAAACAGCTGCATAGCACAGGGAGATCAGCTTGGTGCTTTGTGACCACCTAGAGGGGTGGGATAGGGAGGGTGGGAGGGAGATGCAAGAGGGAGGGGATATAGGGATATATGTATACGTATAGCTGATTCACTTTGTTATACAGCAGCAACTAACACAACATTGTAAAGCAATTGTACTCTAATAAAGACGTTTAAAAAAAAAAGAAAAAAAAGAGAGTAGCAGAAGAACAAAAACAACAAAAAACAAAACAAAAAAGGAACGAAATTGGGTCATTTGTAGAGACGTGGATGGACCTAGAGATTATCATACTAAGTGAAGTAAATCAGGCAGAGAAAGACAAATATAAGATATCACTTATATGTGGAATCTAAAAAAAAATACAAACGAGCTTCTTTACAAAACAGACACAGACTCACAGATTTAGAAAACAAACTTATGGTTACCAAAGGAGAAAGGTGCAGGGGAAGGATAAATTAGGAGGTTGGGATTAACAGACATACACTGCTATATATAAAATAGATAATCAACAAGGACCTTCTGTATAGCACAGGGGACTCTACTCAATACTCTGTAATAACCTATATGGGAAAAGAATCTGAAAAAGAATAGATATATGTATATGTATAACAATCACTTTGCTATACACCTGAAACTAATATAACATTGTAAATCAACTATACTCCAACGTAAAGTAAAAATTAAAAAGAAGACTCCTATGCATCTTTTTATTTTACATTGCTGAGATTTTATATATGTGTAAAATATATATGTTTTAAATATGTGTGTCCTTTTCTTTTGCAAAAAGCAATTTTATTTACTTACCTCCTCTCCTTTCCTTTTTTTCTCTCTCTCTATTATAAGTTCAGCCCTTCTTTTAGAAATCATGTCATCCTGTTAAAGAAAGAGACATTAAAAAATATTAATGGATAATAATAAAATTACTTTTTAAAAAATATTTATTTTATTTATTTTTGGCTGCATTGGGTCTTCGTTGCTGCATGCAGGCTTTCTCTAGTTGCAGCGAGCTACTCTTTGTTGCAGTGCACAGGCTTCTCATTGCAGTGGCTTCTCTTGTTGCGGACCATCGTCTCTAGGTGCACCGGCTCAGTAGTTGTGGCTCACGGGCTCAGTAGTTGTGGCACACGGGCTTAGTTGCTCTGTCACATGTGGGATCTTCCTGGACCAGGGCTCAAACCCGTGTCCCCTGCATTGGCAGGCAGATTCCCAACCACTGCGCCACCAGGGAAGCCCTAAAATTACTTTCTATATATTAATTTTTTTTCCCAAAGGGGAATAATATTTGGGTAGAAGGATACTTTCCAGAAAAGCATGTGATAGTGGTAATTATGTCACTTTCATCTTTGGACCTCTGGACCTCTTGATCAGCTACTTCCTTCCAGAGGGATAAATGGTACTTGGGATCAGTCACTTTTTCTATAAACTTTAGAATTCCTTTTCAAAATGGATTACTTATTTGTTTCCTTTGGTGGAGAGGTGGATTTTGTACATGGAGAAACAGGGAAATACTTAGAGGCTATTTGTTGAAAATGTTTGATAATCTTTCATCATATTATTAAGATGTAATTGCCTAAAGAATCCATGTGAGAAAAGCACATGTACTTTGGATGCATTCACACATATGGTGTATAAGTAGTCCTCCAGTCCTTCTAGGGGTCTCTAAATCTAATGCAATGAATAGGTCCTTTGATATGACCTTAAGGTTTGCATGAAAACTAACCAGCACCCCTTGGGTTTGGGGGCTCATTGGCTCAGGACTCTTGAAACTGGAGTCCCCTTAAATACTGGGAGATCAGAGAAGTGCCTTAAAGACATGCCCTGGGGGCTCCGGTCTAGGCCATCAGGACTGTGCTCCTTTTATCTGACAATTACTGAGTATACATTTCAGATAATTTATGATTTGTTGACATTCAAGAAATATTTGTAGATAGAATTCTAAAACTGAATTGAATCAAATTAATATAGTTCATGAGCCCCAGAGAGATTCTGTAGCTTTTCAGAGGGTAAGAGTTATAAAAACTCTAATTTCCTTTTTTAAAACCAGAGTTTTACCATAGGTGCTTTAACTGTAGAGTTATGAAAATACAGTCTCCTTTGTGTTTTCATAACATATAAGGAAACCACTGTATATACCAAAAAGAAATGCAAAGTATGTATAATAAAGCACACACATATTATGAGTCTGTTTTTCCTCTGATCCTTTCACTCAAATAAGTAGTGGTCAGTGAAGTTTAACTAATTATTGCATGTCTGCCAGATGCCATCACTGTTCTGAGCACAGCACATGTATATTCTTTCATTTTCTGCTCAAAATACACTGCAAGGCAGACAGCATTATCCCACTTTATAGATGAGTTAATAAAGTCAGAAAGTTTAATTCACATAGTATAACACAGCTAGTGTGAGGATGGTGTAAGAAACTCCCAGATAAGGGTATGAAAAAGCACATTGTATGATGGAGCTGTAAGGAGGGTTTGTATTTGTTCCAACTGAGAAATAAAGTTAGAAAGAGGGTTTGGAACAGGATTGGGAGGGCTTTAAATGCCAGACTGAGGAGTTCAGATCTTAACAGAGTGACTTGATCAAAACAGAGTTTTAGGAAGATCAGGTGGCCCGAAGGGCCCAGATATGAAGTCTGGTAGGACAATTAGGAGGTCATCGTAGGAGTGCTGGGTGTGAGGTGAAAAGAATCTGAACCAGGGCAGAGCTGTGGGTATGAGAAGAAAGGTGTAAATCTGCTCTTTCCTGTTCCATATCCCTAAAATCCTCAGGGCATGTGATGTCTAGGCTGGGGCTTGATTGCTTTAGAGCTGCTCCGTCCAGTATGGCAGCTACAAGTCACTTGCAGCTCTATTAAAATTAAATAAAATTAAACATTTGATTTCTCAGCCTCACCAACTAAATACATTTCAACTGCTTAATAGCCACATGTGTGGCTAGTGGCTGCTGTATTGGACAGTGAAGATACAGAACATTTCCATCAGCACAGAGAGTTCTCTGAGAACACTGGTCTAAATGTGCCAGATCCCACAAGGAGGTAACATGCAGCTGTGCTTTGGGATGCCCTCTTCTTTCTTTTCCATTCTTATGTTTATAGAGCCTCTTGCCTGGCAGACACTCTGGCCCACTTTCTTCAGAGATCAGCAGCAGAAAAGGGAAGGATGTCATGTAGAATGGTGTGAAGCTTGGTGTCTTGCCACACCTCTCTCCTGACTTCCACAGTTCTTGGATGGCTGAGAGATTGGCTTTGATTTTGTGTGGGACAGGGATGGCCTGGGACATGTAATCTTAGTGTGGTGGAGCAAAGGGATGGATGGCAAGATGGATAGAGGGATTTCCTCTGGCAAGATGAAAAGATGAAAAGAACTTGACAACTGTGTCTGAGCAGTGACAGAGGAACTTCATGGTTTTAACACTTTGTTTATAATTTAATAAGTATCGAGTTGTGATAAGGTATTCAGTAATTTAAGTCACAGTAGCTCAAAATTGGAACTAACTGATTAGCTCTCTGACACTAAAGAGAGCTTTCTTCCATACTCTCCCTGCCAAATGTCCACTCAGTCTACTCTTATCTATCGACAAGTGGCTCACTGCCTTCGGTCTTTGTTCTTTTTGGAAAGTCTTACTAATAATGAAATACATCTCCCTGTACCTTCCTCCTACCAATGGTGCTTCTTTCCCCTGTGGCCACATGGAACAATGACATACTCTCTTCAGTATAAAAGACCGTCACATAATTTAACACAGTTCTCATGTCCCATCTTGGTCTTCCTAGTTCCAGATTTGAAAGCCCTATTCTTTCTACTCAACCCAGATCTATAAATGTGTCCTTTCAAGACATGTCATACATATGGAATGAATCATAGAGTATGTACTATTTTCTTTGCCTGGCTTCATTTACTCAGTATAATGATTTTGATAGTCATCCATATTGTAGGGGGTATCAATAGTACATTCATTAAAAGTACTGAATACTACTCCATTATATGAATATACTATTTATTTATTTATTTTTCCAGCTTTATAAAATTGTAAGTTATTTAAAGTGTATGTCATGAAGATTTGATACATATACATTGTGAAAGGACTTCTCCCATTTACTTAATGAACACATCCGTCACCTCACATATTTATCTTGTGTGTGTGACAACATTTAAGTTCTACTCTCTTGCCAAATTTCAATTATACAGTAGTACAGTATTACCAACTATAGTCATCATGTCATACATTAGCTCCTTAGGTCTTATTCATCTTATAGCTGAACTTTTGTACCATTTTATCAACTTCTCCCCATTTCCCACACCTCCCAGCCATGACAACCACTTTTCTAGTCTGTTTCTATGAGTTTGATTTGGTTTTAGATTCCACATAACAAGTGATACCATGCAGTATTGGTCTATCTCTGCCTGGCTTATTTAACTTAGCATAATGCCCTCAAGGTCCATCCATGTTGTTGCAAACGTCAGGATTTTCTTCTTTCCCATGGCTAAACAACATTCCTGTGTATGTGTGTGTGTGTGTGTGTGTGTATACACACACCACTTCTTTATCCATTCACCTGTTGGCAGACACAGGTTGTTTCCACACCTTGGCTATTGTGAATAATGCTGCTATGAACATGGGAGGAGAGATATCTCTTTGAGATAATGACTTTGTTTCCTTTGGATATATATACCCAGAAGTGGGATTCCTGGATCATATGGTAATTCTATTTTTTAATTACTTGTGGAACCTCCATACTGATTTCCACAATGGCTGTACTAGTTGACATTCCTACCAACAGTGCACAAGCGCTCCTTTTTCTCCGCATCCTCACCAGCATTTATCTCTTGTCTTTTCGATTTTAGATACCCTAACAGGTGTGAGAGGTGATATCTCATTGTGGTTTTGATTTGCATTTATCTGATGATTAGTGATGTTGAGCACCTTTTCATGTACCTGTTGTCATTTGTATGCCTTCTTTGGAAGAATATCTATTCAGTTCATCTGCCATTTTAAAAAATTGGATTTTTTTTGATACTGGGTTGTATGAGTTCTTTATATATTTTGGATTTTAATCCTTTATCAGATATATGATTTACAAATACTTTTTCCCATTCCCTAGGCTGCCTTTTTATCTTGTTGATGGTTTCTTTTGCTGGGCAGAAAATTTTTTAGTTTGATGTAGTCCCGCTTATTTAGTTTTGCTTTTGGTGTCAAATCAAAAAAAAAAACCATCATTGCCAAGATTGATGTCAAGAAGCTTATCCCCCTTTCTTATAGGAGTTTTAGGGTTTCAGGGCTTGTGTTTCAAGTCTTTGATCCATTTTGAGTAGATTTTTGGGTATGGTGTAAGATAGGTGTTCAGTTTTATTCTTCTGCAGCAGGCTATACAGTTTTCCCAGCATCATTTATTGAAGAAACTATCTTTTCCCCATTGTACATCCTTGGCTAGTTTGTCATAAATTAACTGACAATATATGCATGGGATTATTTCTGTGCTTTCTATTCTGTTAAACTGATTTATGTGTCTACAGTCTGCTAATTTTTCAGTGAACTAATTTTTCAGTTCGGTTATTGTATTCTTCAGCTCTGTGACTTCTGTTTGGTACTTTCTTATATCTTCTATCTCTTGAAAATTTCACTTTGCTTATGCATTGTTCTCCTGACGTTGGTGAGCATCCTTATGACTATTAGTTTAAACCCTTTATCAGATAAATCACTTATCTTTGTTTCAGTAAGGTGTGTTTCTGGCATTTTATCTTGTTCCTCCGTTTGGAACATATTCCTCTGTTTTTTCATTTTCTTTGACTCTATGTGTTGGTCTCTGCCCATTAGATAAAATAGCCACCTCTCCCTGTCTTGACAGAGTGGTCTTGTGTGGAAGATGAACACAGCTCAGGCTGGCCCCCGCTCTTGGCCATCTCTTAAGCCTTTGTACTTGTTTAAGCCACTTTATTTGTTTTTAGTGGCTCCCAGTAGTTGAGGGGGTACCATGACCTATCAGTGTCCCAAATGGGAGGATCACAGTCAGCATAGGCTGATTGGATGCTAGACACTCAAGCAGCAGTTGTTTTAATGTAGGTAATGTGGGTATTTTCTCATTTGCCCAATGTGTAGGAGTCACTCAGCTAATTTCTGGATTTCTTTCAGAGTGGATTGAGTTCAGGAGGCTCCTATGTTGCCACCTTGGGCTGGAAGCCAAGGGACCCTATCTGGATATTTACCACATTTTGTTTATCCATTCATCAGTTGATGGACATTGAACTGTTTCTACTTTTTGGCTATTATGAATAATGCTGTGTGAACTTCCACATACAAATTTTTACATGGACATGTTTTCATTTCTGTTAGATAGGTTCCTAGGAGTGAAATTGCTAGGTTCTCTATGACACTTTTGAACATTTTATGGAAACTTCTCAGACTACAGTTCAAGAAAAGATGTTGTAAGCTAATACCTGGATTTGTTGTACTACAGGCTAAAACGGCCTTGATGGATGGTGTCACCATTCCAGGAGCTAGTGAAAAAGTCAATGAAGATTTTAATTCTTTGTGTTTCAAGGTCTGCTCCACTTGCTGCCTCTTCAACTGTGCTCCAGTGTCTGGTATAAGGATACTTTGGTGCTACCACTATCTTTAATTTTACTTGCCTTGGAGTGAGAAACATTAACATGTAGATAATCATACAGCCCTCAAATAATTCTTAACTCTTTAATTATAAATTGTCTTAATATTTGATGAAAATGTTTTCATACTGAATGTGGTATTAAAATCAGAAAACTACATTTTTGTAAAGACCACTTTATAAACCAGATAAATGCTGAACACATTTACTCTCATGCTTTTTTTTTAACAGATACATACCTTGATTTTTGCTTTCATTTCTTTGATGAGTTTTTTCCTTTCTAATTTCTTCTTTTGTTTCACTTTCCACTTTCCAATTTGGGTAGGAAGGAGGCGATCAGAAACATCTTGATAATCAACTTGTATAAAAACAGCAGCATCTGGGAAAAACCCATATTCCCCCAGAAACTGGACCTCGTCAGGATATTGTGGGAAACCATCTAATACAAAACCTGTGGAACTAGGTGGAAATTTCATAACTTACTTTATTGGCTTAAAATATTATAACTATTGATTTAAAAATGAAAAAAGTACTGATAACTTTCAACTTTACATAAGACACCCAATGAATAACCAGTTTCCTATAGTACCTTTTAATTTTTTAATATTTCTACATGCTGTTTCTTCTCCCAAATGTACTGAGTTGGATTAAAATGATAATATTTTATACTTATATTTATAGTATAAAAGTACTGTCAATCAGTTTATAGACAATTACTATTAATTAGAAGCCTACTAAAAGTTGTGAGAAGATCACGGGGAAAGAGAAAATAAGTTCTCTGCTTGGGACAAGTGACCAGCCTAATGAATGTGTCACCGTTTACATAAAGAGTTTACTTGGCTGCCCTCTACCCTTTTATTGAGAATCCTTACCCTTTAGTCATTTTTCTTCTAATGATGTTTCTTTTCATGGGAAAGTTCATAACCCTCTTCCCTGGCTCCCTTTGTAACCAGCGACAATTATTAATGTTGTCTTGGCTCATGTGTAAGATGATCGTATTCAGACAGGATCATCAAACTTGCTCAAGTATGATGAAACTTTAAGAATCATGAAAATAACTTGGAATGTTAACACATTTTCATTAGGGAGTATTTATAAAAACAATCAGGCTTGGTGAACCTGGCTTGGTTTAGTTGAGAGGTTTAATATTGGTCCCTTTTTGAATGAAAGTTTATCTCGTTTATCTAAGATTTGGTTTAACTATTTATATTTAAATATACGTTCTCTTCTTCAAAGGAATAGGACTTTCATGAACATTTGACAGTTTCAGCTCTTAACTATCACTTAGAAATGTTGTTTTCTTTCTAATTAAGTGGGCAAATTTACATATATTGGCCATAAGATATGTGTTTTCTTTAGAGGTGCCTTCAGCAAAGTCTCTTCTGTTCTAGCTGTTACTTCTTTGTCAATTACATCTAAATCTTTTACCCCTACACCCAAACTTTCTTCTGAGTTTTGATTTAGAATTTTCAACAAGCTGCAAGAATTTTCAACAAACAAGTTTCTCCATCTGAATGCCCTTCAGGAATTATATATGCATCATACTGTCAAAAAATCACGCTCACTGTTACCCTTCCACACAGCTCTTCCTCTGACTCACTAGTATCCAGGTGTCAAACTTCAGAGACATCCTTCAACTCCCTCTTGCTTCTCACATACAAAACCGAAGTAATGTAACTAATGTAATTAGTTACATTAGGTCTCTAGGACAGATGCCTTTTTAAAACATGTTTTTTCCTGATTATAAAAGCAATAAATCTCACTACAGAAAAATCAGAAATAAAGTGATGAAAAAAGGACAAAATTATCTGCAACCTCATATCCAAGAGGTTACTGACATTTTGTTTTGTTTCTTTCTAGTTGGTTCTTCATTTGTTCAACTTTCTATCTTATTATAAATAACTTTGTATCCTTTTTTAACATAACCGTTGTATAATAAAATTTCTTATGCTATTACAGTCTTCATTGTAATAAGTTTTAATGTAGTGCTAATATTCAGCTATTTTATTTAGGCTATTACAATTTCATTTTTACTTTTCTTCAATCCATACGCTTTTCTCTTGTTTTTGTTTTTAAATGTATGTGAGGTCAGGAGCTAAGTTAATGAAGAAAAACCCATGACTATGTTGCTGCCAGCAACATGCCTAAGTTTACTACGACTATTGATCTAATTTAGGGAACAAGAAATTAAAATTAAAGTGACTAATAATCCCACTACTTGGTTAGGCCAGGGACTAAGTGAAAGAGAGTGACCAGAGGAGGACTGGGACCTGCCAGTTATTTGAATTCTCTAATGATATAGTTTTCTTATCTCCAGAATGAGAAAATAAACTTTCTGTCCCAGAGGGAAGCTGTAAGGATTAAGGAAATTAATATGAATAAAATATAGGAGAACAGTATCTGGCACACAGTAAGTTCCATATAAGTGTTTGCTATTATCAGTACTGTAAGTATCATTTCACTTTCTTCTGGTGGATACCGAGGTAAGAGATTCTGGTTAGGAAATCGAGGTGAGGCCTTAAACTCTGGTGGCCTGGAATTCTTAGTTTGTCCTGTATGGCGTCAGGCTTGTTCCTGGCTGTTGGTAAAGGGATGAGACTATGGACAGCTATTTAGTGGTGTGAACAACCACTGCAACAAAAACAAAGAGCGTTGCTCATCAACCAGTTATACAGGGGTTAAGTCACAACCCACTGCAGTCACCTACCGACAGCGTACCCTGAAAAGAATTCAGGATGAAAAAACAGGATGAGGCACTTTGTCCTTTGGATAAACAGGCCCCTAGATAGTTAAATGCATATCTCAGGAAGAATTTCAATGACCCCAGATTCTTGCATTTTCCCATACATAGAAAAGCACTAAAATCATTAACTTGGGATATCTGTTCTTCGTGATTAGCAGCAATCTTTTACCAAGATATATGCTTAACTACATGTATATCCTAGCCAAGAAATTCATACATGTGTACTGGCTCCTCCCCTACCTCTTTGGAACAGGTCTTCAGAGCTATCTCCCAGGCTATATTCCTCAGTAAGACCCTGAATAAAATTTAAACTCACAACCCTCAGGTTGTGCGTTATTCTTTGAGTTGACAGTGGAATTAACTAATTGTTAAAAGACTACAAGGCAAAGAGTCTGGTAGGTCATGAGTGTACACAGGTTTAGAATATGGATCCTTAATCACAACTACACATTATAATCCCCTGGGGAGCTCCAATGCCCAGGCCCCAACCTCACACCTCTAAAGATTTTGGTTCAATTATTTTGGGGTGGGGTCCCTGGCATCAGTATTTTTAAAATAATCCTCTAGATGTTTTTTTTAAATTTATTTATTTAGTTAGTTACTTTTGGCTGCATTGGGTCTTCATTGCTGCATGCCAGCTTTCTCCAGTTGCGGCAAGCAAGGGCTACTCTTTGTTGTGGTGCGCGGGCTTCTCATTGCGGTGGCTTCTCTTGTTGTGGAGCACGGGCTCTAGGCGCACAGGCTTCAGTAGCTGTAGTTTGTGGCCTCTAGAGCACAGGCTCAATAGTTGTGGCGCACGGGCTTAGTTGCTCCGTGGCTGTGGGATCTTCCTGGACCAGAGCTCCTGGACCAGTGTCCCCTGCATTGGCAGGCGGATTCTTAACTACTGCGCCACCAGGGAAGTCCCTGAATAATCCCCTAGATGTTTTTAATGTGTGGAATCACTAGTTTACATGAGAGTAAAGGAGAAAATTCTTAAATTTATGTTGGATTACGTTTTTAACTTTTAAGAATAAATCAAATAAAAGTCAATAAATGTATAAAAGCCTGTATAAATTAAGATACCGTATCGGTTCCTTAAACCACCACTCAGAGAGAATTGCTTCAAGGATTTCGGGAGGCAATGGCTCATTTTCTGTTAGATTTAATCTGATTGCTTCTTCTTCTTCTGTAAGCTGTACTTCCTGAGGCTACAAACAAAAATCAGAAAACAAAACAAAAATTTTAAACTGTATATTAATAAATAATACTATGTTACATAGTTGATTAGGATAAGAACTGTTTTTCTCAGGTCAGTTTTTTCAAAAATATTTATGTATTTATTTATTTTGGCTGTGCTGGGTCTTAGTTGCAGTACACGGGATCTTCGTTGCAGCATGAGGACTCTTAGTTGCAGCACGCATGCAGGATCTAGTTCCCTGACCAGGGATCGCACCTGGGCCCCCTGCACTGGGAGCACGGTGTCTTAACCACTGGACCACCAGGGAAGTCCCTCAGGTCATTTTTTATACTGTTGCTCATAAACATTTAAAAATCTGAGCTCTTTTCTTTAAACCAATATTTAATATGGTTTTAAATATTAAATGATAATTACTATTGCTAAGAGGAGTTACTAGCAATTAGCATGACTGATTTTCATACATGGTCTCAGGATACCTGTCTCATTATTTTTACTAAAACCTTGTTCAGTCTATATCACACACCTATAAAGCTTAACTGATTTTTGTCGTCTATCTTATAATTATTCAACCTAGATCCTGATTAAAGGATGGGCCAGGCAGGCAGGCAGTCATCTGGAGTATAATCTGTACCTGCATCCATTTATAGGAAATCATTTGAGAAGAAAAGGGTCCAGCTATATCAGAAATGGTTAAAAAGTGAGTTAGAATTAAGAACTTTCTCTTTACACCTCCAGATAGAAAACACCTAAGAGATATATACAAATTTTCTTATGAGGCATCATTAGAAATTAATATTTTGAGATCTCCACTGGCGCTGGGACAGATTTTTTATGACATTAAATAGAAAACGGAGAACACAATAATGGAAAACCTTACAGTCTAGGTCAGACATATCAAATAGCATAGTCCCAAATAAATGCTATATAACACTCTTGTCAGGAAAAGCTTTTCTGTTTTTTATTGGAGTCATGTAAAACTCAGTATTTTATATTCTAGATGAGCAGTAAGATCTGTATTTAACATATGGGGAGGATGATTCCTAAATGATTTTTATGGGCTATTTTTTTCTTCTTAGAAACTTTATAGAGTTTGTTTCTTTTTTTTTAACATCTTTATTGGAGTATAATTGCTTTACAATGGTATGTTAGTTTCTGCTGTATAACAAAGTGAATCAGCTTATATTCTTCTCCCCCAAAGTAACACCAGTAAGCACAGTTATCTGCAAGGAGAGTATTAATATTCCTACCAGCTTCTTTGTATTTTCTTCCTCAATTGTAACATTGGCCTGAATTGCAAGCTCTTCAAGTTCTTGTTTTGCAAATTGTTCATCCTCAGAATTGTCCTCAAACTTAGGTCCAACTTTCTTCTCAGTTTTAAGCATTAATTTTTCTTGAAGAAATTCTTCAAACTGGATATGAAAAATGCCCAATTCTTCTGCCAACTGTCTTCCACATACAGTTTTGCCAGAGCCATGGGGGCCCAAAAGGCATATTCTTAATGGAGGAGCCTGCCACAGGGGGTGGGTCAGGGGGTTGTAGGACAGAAGGAGAGTGAAGAAAAGGAAGCTTTGAGAATTTAGAAAACGTAAGGCTTATTACTAACTGCCCTCCCTAAGACTGAATTATCACTTCACAAACTCAAGGATGTTTCAGCATTAGGATACCAATTAACATGATTCATTGCATCAACCATGGTCCTCAGGGATCATCAACAACCATAGAGAATCTTGATATCAAGTGCCGAAAGGCATTTAATAAAATTAAATTAATTTTGTTCCTTTAAAAAAGTTTTAATTAAGGAAGAATGGAAAGGCACTTTCTTAGCATGATAAAAACAACAACAACAACAACAAAACCTCTCTACCAGACAAAAAGTCCTTTGATACTGGAACACTAGGGGTCCCTTCATTAACTCCTGTAATCTCTGTATTGGAGATAGGGAAGCCCCAAAACCAGAGAACCCACAGAGATCCAGATGTATGGATTGTCCATTGATGCTCAAATTGTCGAGAACAACGGTGAGAGTTGGGATGGAGGAGCAGGGAAATCTTTTGTGAATGTGGGGAAATGACCATGATATTGGTAGGTGACGGCAAGGAGGAGTGGGAGATGGTGATATATCTGGATGGAATAAGCCTCCAAGGGGCTGGCAGTAACGGACTTCGAGTAGCAGAGGGAAGCAAGGAGCACAGTCTCATCACCTTCTGTCCTTGTGAAGGAAAGGTTCAGAGAAGAGTTTAAAGGTGCAAGTATACCACAGAAATACAGGGGAAAGACGAGTCAGGTATCTTGAGGAATAGGGAAATTTAAAAAAAAGAAAGAAACTTAAGAGATTTAAGAAGATAGCAAGTCCACAAAAGAATATCTGAAAACAGAAATATCAGAGAAAAGAAAGAGATCTTAGAGATTAAAAATGTGACTGCTGAAGTAAAAAGTTCAGTAGTACTGTGAAATTCTAAGATTCCCTAGCATGAAAAACACATGACTTCAGATTAAACATGTACCATGTGTCCAGTGCAATGAATAAAAAAGATTCTGGACAATTTTAAGAACACAAGATAATGAAAAGAAGCTCTTAAAAGCTTTCAAATATTTAAAAAATGAAGCTGACTTACAAAGAAATTAAAATCAGCCTAGTGACACTGGATGCTACCTCACAATAAAGCAATACCTTTAATATTCTAAAAAGGAATGATTTTCAACCTAAACTCTATGTCTATACTAATTGTTAAACATATGAGAACCAAATGATGACATTTTCAGATATGAAGAAAGTTAGTTGAAAATGTGTTTCAGCAAAACAAGGGTTTGAAAAACCCACAAAAGCAAGAGGAAGACATGATGTAAATATCTGTTGACTTTGCCACCCAGCATTTATTCACTCTTCTTCTGTTAACCACATCTGGATTCCCCCCAGGAGACCACCCTTCATCCCTCTCAGTTTATGTGCTTCCAGTGGAACTGATTCCATTGTTAAAGAATTGGGCATGACATTAAAAGATGCTCAACATCACTAATCATCAAGGAAATGCAAATCAAGACCACAGTGAGATATCACCTCACACTTGTCAGAATGGCTATTGCCAAAAAGACAGGAAACAAGTGTTGGCAAGGATGTGCACTGTTGGTGGGAATGTAAATTGGTGTAGCCACTATGGAAAACAGCATGGAGGTTCCTCAAAAAACTAAAAATAGAACTTTCTTGTGATTCAGCAAATCCACTTCTGGGTATTTATACGAAGGAAATGAAAACACTAATTAGAAAATATATATGTACCACTATGCATTTCTTTGCAGCGTTTATTTGCAATAAACAAGATATGGAAGCAACCTAAGTGTCCATCGATAGATGAATGGTTAAAAAAGATGTGGTACACACATGCACACATAATGGAATATTACTCAGCCATAAAAAAGAATGAAATCCTGCCATTTGTGACAACACTGCTGGACATAGATGGTATTATGCTAAGTGAAATAAGTCAGGCAGAGACAGACAAATGCTGTATGATTTCACTTATATGTGGAATCTAAAAATCAAAACAAACAAACATAACAAAACAGAAACAGACTCATAGACATACAGAACAAACTGGTGGTTGCCAGAGGGGAAGGTGGGTAGGGAGATGGGCAAAACAGGTGAAGGGGATTAAAAGGTACAAACTTTCAGCTATAAAATAAATATGTCCAGGTTGGCTGTACAGCATAGGGAATATAGTAAACAATATTGTAATAACTTTATATGGTAACAGATGGTTACTAGACTTAACTTGATGATCATTTCACAATATACGTAAATGTAAAACCACTATGTTGTACACCTGAAACTGATATAATATTGTATGTCAATAAAAAAAGAACTGGTCATGTGATAAGATTTAAGTCAGTTGATGAATCACTTGAGAAAAATAATGAAAAAGAGAATGGTGAATAGTGAAAATAGAGTGGTATGAAATTATGTAGGTGCAGTCTCACACCATACTTTTGAATCACATTTTAAATCCCTCAGTGATGAAACTGCTGAAGTGACACCTCACTCATCCACAGGCTAAACCTCTGGCAGACAGAGCTGTGTGGAATTCAGAGTGGATAAGTAGCTAGGAAGTGAAGGGATGTAGATACATGACAATTTGCAGAAAAAGTGTGGACTCACCATTAAGATTTCAGGCTTTTGTCCACAGGGTTACGAGTAAAACAAGTCAATAGATCGCAAGTAGTGAAACAGACTAAGAGGAAAACAACACACCAAAAGAAGACAAAAGGCCACATTCCTAAGTGACTCCCATCACCAGCAGGGCCAGGGCACAACCATCGGCATATTTCAGTCATCCCTATGGGACGATTTAGGTCCATGAAAATGGCCCAAATTATCCAGAAGAGTTTAAATTGTGTTTTATAAGTTCTGTTTAACAAGGCATTAACGTTACTGAAAGTTATGACAGTATATTGTGATTTATATATTTTGATCTTGTAGTCCCATTCTAAGGAATTATACTAATAAAATAATTAAGAGAAACGAAGGATCATATGCCCAAAGATTTCCTAAGTACTATTTCATATCCACAATGGCAAACTCACACTATAAAAATTACTGTGAAAAAATGTCTAACAAGAAATTAGATGTTAAAATGGTATGTCAAAATGATTAGGCAATAAAATAAATCCAATACATTTACACACAGTAAATTCAGCTGTGACTTTCTACTTCAGGTAAAAAGATACCATGTGTTGGTCTGACACAGGCATTACTGAAGAAATCCAAATAGATAATTAGATTATGTTATATTCCAAAAAGTTGTTCTTGGAACCTAGATATTTCCATACCATTATATCAGATTGGGGACTTCACTACTGAGTAAAATGGTGGAGGTTGGTAATAAGTCCCTAAAAAAGTACGCAGGAGCGATTGTCAGGATGCGAATATCGTTTTCACCTTTAATGGTTCATCATGAGCCACATACTCTTCAGGTTGCTCCAAAAACTTTTCTTTAGCCTCAGGACTTGAAAAGTAATAGATCTTTTCTCGATATTTAGCTGCTTCTTCTGTGCTGCCTGGTTGTAGGATGAAGTTTTCTTTGAGAGCCACTGGACAAAAGTGCTTTGTATCTCCCAAATGCCTTCTCTTCTCTTTAATTCTATCTTCATTCTAGAAATATTATTCAAAGTTTGGAGAACACTATTAATGTATTATTCATGTAATACTAAAGAGGGAATTATAAAAAATGCAACTTGAATAGTATTTAATCCATAACAATATCCATTTAAAACAATCCACAAAAGACCAGTTCTTATACTATTTAAATTAATCAAAAAATCAGGTTCTCATATCCCTCTGAGTTCACATCCCAAGCGTCTTTATTTTATAAAGAAAATGAAGCAGCACTGAGAATGAAGGCATCCCCAGCCCTCTACAGACAAATGTGTAATAAAAACGCCTATTATGTGCTGGTGCAGGGTCACTGTGAGGTCAGTTTCTAAAATAAAATTATTTCCAAGAATTAAAAGCTGAGTCAGGGCCGCAACTTCTTACCCATTGAAAATGAAATGGGAGATGCCTCAGGATTTGCTTTGTTTCCTACTCAGTGGCTATATATCAAATAATTTGGAACTATTTTATTTTGTTCAATTGGAAATGTGTAATATATTTTATTTGTGATAGATGAAGAAACTGTGTGTAAAGTCCCTTAAGGACTCTTGCAATTTATTTAAAGCAAAGTACATTTAAAAAATAATTTTCTGTGTTGTACAATACATGCTTGCTGTAAAAACATTCAAAACTCATCACAATGCATAGAGTGAACATTTCCTCTCACCTTCTTCCTTACAATACTATATTGACACTCAGTAGTTTTATGTGTACCCTTCCAGACCTCTTTTTCTAAGTTTATCCTACACATCTATAAACAAAACTAGACACAAATTTAGGCACAAATACATTATTTTTAAAAGTACCAATGAAATAATACTTTACATGATTATTCTACAACACACCTCTTCCCCCTCCCCCCAAGCAAGATATAATAAACAACTTCCTGTAAAGGAGCAAAAATAAGACTAATCTCTACTTTTCTTGTGTCATTCTTGTTCAATTTTTGTGTCAGGGTTATGCAAGGTTCAAAATGAGCTGGAAAGTACTGATGTTTTTCTATGATGTGGAAGATTTAAATAACATAGGGCTTACCTAATCAACAAGAACTGTCCTATAACGCCCTACAATTTTTTTGTTTGTTCAGCTTTTATCTTTCACCCTAAGCAAATTTTAATAATTCGTATTTTGAAAATGCTTTTCATTTTGACTTAAACATTTATTAAAGTTGTAATTTAAAACAACCGTCTTTTAAAATCTGATTATATACCCCTTTCTATCTCAAATGTTATCTACTGCTCCTTCTTTTTACCTCATTCTACTTGCCAGAAGTTTGTCTATTTTATTGCTCTTGTCAGTGAACCAACTCTTCATTGTTTTTGAAGTTAGGCCTACTGGTTTTATTTTCCTATTTCATTAACTTTTGCCTTTAATCTCCTTTCTACTTTCTTTTGGTTTATTTTGTTATGCTTTTTCCTAGGTTCTTGAGCTGGATGCTTAATTTCTCCAGTCTTTCTTGTTTTTCAATAAATGCACCTAAAGTAAGGTTTCCAGACTTAGCAAATGAAAATGAAGGCTCCCCAGTTATATTTGAATTTCAGTTTAAAAAAATGTGAGGTAGATGAGTGGTGGGTGACAAGGTTGGGGGGTCTTTTTGGAGCAAGGGAATCTGGGAAGATGGTGATCTACAGACTCTGTCTTCCCTTCTCTGCCACCTCCTCAGTGGTAAATAGCTGCTGGGGCAGGTGGCTGGTAACCATGGACATGAGGGGAGACAACTGTACAACACTCTTTACCGCTATGAGGGGGACGAGTACCTGGAGACAAACAACAGAGGGACAAGAGCATTAAGACGCCAAGTCTTCGGAGGAATTTTGCCTGTAGAAATCTGTGGATTTCCTGGGAGAATGTTAGCATCAACAACTACCACCCAGGAGTGTCTGTGGTCTCTGTGGCCTGCAAGAGACCAAGAAGGAGCTGTATGGGCGGGAGGAGTCCTCCCTGACCCTGCTTCTGGGTAAGTATGAGGAATCCAGGTAGCTGAGCTTGTCTCAGGCCTCAGCAACAAAATAGGTGACCTATCTGCTGCTATGCTCCTGACCGATGGGGAGAAAAGTCACTTTGCCTTTCATAATTTTTGAGAATGTTGTCACCTAAAGCACTCCAGCAACAGTCCTGAACTCCACTGAGCCAAAAAAAAGAAAAAAAAAAAGAAACAAAGAAACAAAACAACCATCCTTCTCAGGAAGCCTGGCACACACTGCGAGATTAGTCAGATCAAACAGACCACAAAACTCTGCAACACAGGCAGGGAAGAAACCCAATCTCAGAGTAGAAAAATGATGGAGACATTTACAGAGATTCATGTAAACACTAGAAAGAGTTCATGAGCACCAATAAAATATGTAAATGAGCTGAGGAAGAGAGTGAGCACTTGTGGTGGAATCTGGCCCCCAAAGATCCCCAGAACCTGTGACTATGTTATCGTATGTGCGTGATTAAGTTAAGGATATTGAGATGGGAGGATCATGCAGGTGGGTCCAATGTAATCACAGGGTCTTTATAAGAAGGATGCAAGAAGGTCAAAGGCAGAAGGAGATGAGATGATGGACAGTAGAGGTTGAAGTGATGAGTTTTGAAGATAGGGAAGAGGCCATGAATCAAAGAATGCAGATGACCTCCAGAAACTGGGAAAGATAGGGAAAGGCTTCTCCTCTAGAGGAAGGAACATAGCCAACACTGATTTTAGCCCTCTAAGATTCATTTCAAAATACTGTGAGAACTGTACAATAATTTGGTTATTTTAAGCCACCAACTTTGTAGCAATTTGGTACAGCAGGAATAGGAAACTAATACTCCACTCTAGAGACCCCAATGGATGTCTTAAATTAGAAGGCTGAGTCTACACATGTTTGAACAAACTCTACAAATGTAAGAACAAAAAAGTAAGAGATGGAAAATTTGAGGGAAAAGATAAAATATTTGGAGGATAGATCCAAGAGACCTAACTGGTATTAGGTATTGTGGAAGGAAAAAATGGAAGAGATGGAGGAGAGGCAAGAATTAATCTGCCACAAGTAGAGAAAGAAATAACCTCAGATTTAAACACACGCCAAGTGCAGGCAGAACTGATAAGGAAAAACAAACACCTGGACACACCTTGATGCAATTTCTGACCTCTGAAGCAACATTAGAACTGTTGTTTCTTTTTCTATTTGTGTGGCAAAAGCGAAATATCTTTGCTGTTGATCTTTCTTATTGTAAAAACACTGCATCTTGAATGTTAAAAAATCAGACAATATAGATAAGTATTTATCTATATTATTACTTGTGAGTCCATCACTCAGAGATAACCACCATTAACACATTCAACAGCTTGACTGAGGTATAACTGACATTAAAACACTTACATACTTAGTTTATAATTTGATAAGTTTTGACATACGTTTGATCCATGAAACCATCACCACAGTCAAGATAATAAACAGATTTGTCAACTGCATAGTTTGCTCCTGCCTCTTTGTAATCCGTCCCTCCTGCCCCTATTTGCCTCCTATCTGCTCCATCCCCAGACAACAACCACTCTCTTTTCTATCACTATAATTAGTCTGCATTTTCTAGAATTTTATGTAGGTGGAATCACACAGTATGTATTCTTTTTTGGTCTGGCTTTTTCTCTTAGCATAATTGTTTTGAGATGCATCCAGGTTGGTGTCTGTATCAGTAGTTCTTTTATTTGTTTTTATTTTTCTGTGTGTGCTATTCCAGGTCTAATTATTCCCTGTTCCTATGACTAGACTCTTTTTAGTATACTACCCAATGCCCTGTGAATTATGAGGTTTTTCCAGTCTAGTTGGTGGGAACAGGCATTATTTCTGGCTCTGTGTGAGATCCAAGTACTGGTCCCACTAATCTTTGGTACTTCCCAGGGCCCTGAGTAGTTTCCTTACATGCGAAGCTGATCAGTGCTCTGTTGAATACTTGAAGGGGCTGCTCTGCAGGTGTCCAGAGCTCTCCCTGTGTACAGTTCTCTCATCTCTGGTCCCTTCCCTTCTAGCTGCTTTGGTCTCCAGGGGTTCTCTGCTTTATCTCCTCCAATCCTCCAATCAACGAGTCTCCCTGGCTCTGTCTGGGTCCCTCCTCCCTGTACCACAGCCTGGACAAGGTACACAGCCTTACAGACAGGAAGATGGGGAAATCGTAGGATGCACTTCATTTATTTCCCACCTCTCTGGGATCACTGTGCTTCACTGTCTCATGTCAATGTCTTGAAAACCGTTTCATGTATTTATCCTATTTTTCAGTTGTTTCAGGCAGGAGGGTAAATCCAATCCCTTTTACTCCGTCTTTCCTGGAATGACTGTTAACATTTGAGTACATATCTTCCCAGAATTTTTATCATGAGTTAGTGTACATTTTTTTGCTTTTGTCTGTATAGCACCTTTCTTTCCCTTTTCAAGTAACATGACCCTTCTCCCTCTTCTCATGGAGAACCACTTCTTCCACATTCCAAGGTTCTCAAATGGACCAGACAATCAGAGTGACTCCTTACCTTATAGCCACTGAGTGCATGTGACTGAGGTTGGCTCAATCATATACAAAGTCCTCTAGTTACTATGATTAATAGGGACAACTGACTGAGCTGGGAGAAGTGAAATTCTTTCTTGTGATTTTTCCAGGTGGATGTAAAGACAGAGTGTTGTCTTTCTTCCTAGATCAAAATTTCTAAGGATGTTCTCCCAGAATTCCTGGCAGCCATGTCTGCCTTATTTGGAAAAAGCATCTTCGCAGATGTAATTAAGGATCTCAAGATGACATATCACTGTTCATAACCCAGGTGGTCCCTAAATCCAGTGACAAGTGTCCTTATAAGAGAAGACACGGAAGAGAGGCCAAGTGCAGACTGAGGCAGAGGCTGAAGCCAACACAGAGGCAGCCACAAGTCAAGGATTATCTGGAGCCACCAGAAGCTGGAACAGGCAAGGAAGGGTTCTCCCGGGAGCCTTCGGAGGGAGCATGGTCCTACCTACCAACACCTTGATTTCAGAGTTCTGGTCTCAAGAACCGTGAGAGGATAAATTTCTGTTGTTTTAAGTCTTCGAGTTTGTGGTGCTTTTTTTTGGCCTTGCCACGCAGCATGTGGGATCTTAGTTCCCCAACCAGGAATAATCGAACCCATGCCCTCTGTAGGGGAAGCATGGGGTCTTAACCACTGGACCGCCAGGGAAGTCTCTGTGCTTTGTTATGGAAGCCTTTGGAAACTAATCCTGCAGGTAAAACTGATCTGTGTTACAGTAAATTAGGAAGAATGGAAGTGAGGAAAAGACACTATATTATCAATGAAGACCATACTTAAAAAATTTAAGTTTTGAATATTACAGACAGCTTGAGAACTGTCTGCAGATACAAGAAAGACACTGTGTTCTTGCAGACCAGAGGAGGGCACAGAAGAAGAACGGCAGAAGAAGGATGACTGAGAGGAGAGAATCTGAATATTAGTGGGACAAAACCCACATCCTTTAGCCACCCTGACTGAAGGTCTCAGCAGTTCCTTAGGATAAAGTACCGAAAGCTGTTAGCAGAATCATGTTGTGTAACATTTGTTGCTTGACACATACATATTTGGGTTTAAGTTAAGCAACAGTAAGTTAATTACAACTGAGTATTTATCTACCCATTTTATTGATAAAGACCGGAATTAAAAGAATCACCTCCTATTTTATTATTGATAGATGCCCGAACTGGGAGGCTATCAGTTGAGAACAGTGACCAAAATTGTGGTGCCAAGGGAGAAGATTGGGGCCTAAAATGAGCTGTTCCCATTTGAGCAAACCACTCATTGTTATCATGCCCGTAGCCCCTCAAAGATGCCACTGCTGTGCTTTGTATAAAACACCCACGTCTGTTAAATCTTTCTTGTTATTAATTTTTATTGGAGTATAGTTGCTTTACAATGTTGTGTTAGCCTCCACTGCACAACAAAATGAATCAGCCGTACACATACAGATATCCCCTCCCTTCTAGGTTACCACAGTGCATTAGGTAGAGTTCCCTGTGCTATACAGTATGTTCCCATCAGTTGTCTATTTTATACATAGTATCAGGAACGTATGTGTGTCAATCCCAGCCTCCCAATTCCTCCCACCCCACCCCTTTCCCCCTTGGTATCCATACATTTGCTCTGTAAGTCTGTGTCTCCATTTGTGCTTTGCAAATAAGATCATCTGTACCACTTTTCTAGATTTCACATATATGCATTATTATACGATATTTGCTTTTCTCTTTCTGACTTAACTTCACTCTGTATGACAGACTCTAGGTCCATCCACGTCTCTACAAACGACCCAATTCCATTCTTTTTTATGGCTGAGTAATATTCCGTTGTATATATGTACCACATCTTCTTTATCCATTCCCCTGTCAACGGACATCCACTTTTGTTAAGTTTATAAAATATTTCTGTCTCTAATACCTATAGACGTTTCCAGGGGAAAAAATTTAAAGAATTCTTTTTTCATGGGCGTAATATACTGTCTAAGTAGCCCTGGCATTTCAGAGGTCAAATGAAGCTGGGTGGAGGCAAAATGTGTTGAAAATGTTTATAAAATTGAAGACCCCTGCTTGTTTTCTTGGAGTCTAAAAGTGCCCGTTACCACTCTGGATATGTGCGCTTTCAGTGATGTGACCATGGTGAGGGGCAGGCACCAAGACTCCTACCTCTTCCTCCTCCTCTTCTAGCTCCTCATCGCCTTCGGCCTCAGCCTGATAGTCTTCTGTTTCTTCATCATAATCGTCCATAGTTAACTCCCAGCCAGCATAGTGGAAAGGTTCTGTAGAAAAAAGAAGAAATAGTTGGGAAGATATTTTTAGGATAAAAGCCTATTAGCATATTACAGTAGCCAAAGATTAGGAAAATTAATTATAGGGACTGGTCTCTTAGCTTAAATGTGTATGCAGACAGGCCTTCACAAATTCTTTAAGTGACAACTGGCCAGTTTGGCCAGTGCTGTTTGTGCCTCATGGCTGTTCTGATTGGTGGGTGCCTGCACTATGACAGTTGTTAAATATTTTAAATATCATCCCTGGTTATACTGACTGTTTTGCTTCACAAACCACAGGCTTTAAACTTTCACAGTACTTTTAATAATATTACCTGCTCATGACAATAAATGTTATGATTACAGACGGCCCTTACTTTCCATGGTCTCAATGACTTTTTGAAGTAGTTCCTCTGGAGTTTTGTCAGCAATCTCCAAGTTTAAAACTTGAGTAAAAGAGTCACTGATTGCTGTTTCCATCTGCCTCCAGGCGGAGTAGAAAGATCTGACACTCTCTTTAATTGGCTCCATTTCAGGAACATCAGGATAAGCGTCTTCTGGAAACTCAGGTAGTACAACTTTTGAGTAAAAGTTAAAGGAAAGAAAAAAGAGCCTTCAGGCATTATATCTTTAGTCATATTGCCAAAATAACTTATACTTTATAATACTTTAAAAACATTTGGGGCTTCCCTGGTGGCGCAGAGGTTAAGAACCCGCCTGCCAACGCAGGGGACATGGGTTCGAGCCCTGGTCCGGGAAGATCCCACATGCTGTGGAGCAACTAAGCCTGTGCACCACAACTACTGAGCCTGTGCTCTAGAGGCCACGAGCCACAACTACTGAGCCCTCATGCCACAACTACTGAAACCCGCGTGCCTACAGCCCGTGCTCTGCAATGAGAGAAGCCAACACAGTGAGAAGCCTGCTCACCACAACAAAGAGTAGCCCCTGCTCACCGCAACTAGAGAAAGCCCATGCGCAGCAATGAAGACCCAACGCAGCCAAAAATAAAAATAAATTAAATTAAATAAATAAATTTATTTTAAAAATTTGAAAGAAATAAACTTAGTGTTCTAAGCAATAATATACATTTATAAATTCATATTTCAATTATACTTTGTTCCTTGTATTGGCTGTAGATGAATTATTACTTATAAATAAAATCCAAATTATTTGGATAATTAATATCAATTTCATATGGCAACTTTAACTGTTAATAAAATGTATAACATAAAATTTGATGAAAAACTGTTATAAGTTGGCTAGATACACTTTTAATATAATAAGTTAGGTAAATAAATATAACACACATCAACTGGCATACGACTGACATAGAAAGAAACAAGTAGGAAGTTGGTACTATGCCTAAAATTGTAAGAGAATATGAAAAGCACTTTTATGCACTAACTACTTTTATTTGATAATCTAACCTGTTTCAGATAATTCTTTAGTTTCTAGTCCCTCTTTGGATCCTTTTGGAATTTCTGTTCCAACTGTAGTATCCTCGGTAGGCTCAGACACTTAAAAAAAAACAATCTAATAGTGTATGAATTTTAAAACACTATTCCTTTATGAAGTTCTTGGCACAAAGAAAATTTCAAAACATAGTTTAAATTGTGTATACTATATCTAATTGATAATATGGTTCTTGTTAGGTAAAGTATTGAAACTGAGTCCCCCTAAAACCGAGTTCCCCTGCCTAGTTTATGGTTAACCTCCCTATTCAAAACTTTATTCCTTTTCTTGTCCCCTCTGACCTCAATCCTGTGCTAACTGAACACTAACCAACCAGAGTCAGATAACATCATTAATGTACAAACTCAGGTTGTTTCTCCAGGACAAGACCCCTGATCATGCACCCCCACAGCAGAGACTCATAAACAGTAGGCATCCTGGCCCCTGAAACTACAATTAAGAAATGTCACAAGATGACGATTAACTACAGCTTCTTTGTTCTTCCCCTTTAAAAGCCCCCAACTCAAAGACCAAGTTGGAGTAGATCTGAGATTCATCTCCCACTCCCTTGCTTGGCGCCCTGCAATAAGCCCTTACTTTGCTGCAAACACCCGCTGCCAGAGTTTGGCTTTCTGTGCCGCGGGCACACGAGCACACTGCTTGGTTTCAGCAAGGCATAAAAATACATAATAGTATAAGGCAGAAAATGAAGAATATTCTTAAATACACAAAAGGATGTTGACCAGAATAACAATTGGTACATACAATTTTGACTGATGACTGTTGTTAAATATCATTCAAACTCCTGTTCACACGGCATCAAACTAGCAGTGCCTGATAGTTCTTTTAATTTCTTGAGATACCCGTAAAGATATACCAAAGGATCATAAAGTGGCAATAAAGGGCGATGATATGCCAAAGTCTCAGCTGTGGGTGTTGGTGTGGTAAAACTGAGGAGTATCTCAACTAATACCACTGTTGGAGATGTAGATCAACAACTGCTTTCCTGGATGATATAAGACATGATCCACATACAGATCTAGCATAGCTAGTTTCAGGGAAGGAAGGACTAATAATCTTTCTTCTCTCCTAGTCTCCATAGTCTCTCCTAGTTCTGAGACACAAGTTTTGTGTAGACCACACACACACACACACACACACACACACACACATTTTTAAAATATATATGTAGCCATTCTGTAATACTGTGGAAGCTGTTATAGCCATTCTGTAATACTGTGGAAGCTGCCTTTTAAGTTAGCTAAAGTAATAGTTGGGTCCTCTTTCTACAGAATCTGTAACGTTTAATACTCAGGAGAACAGGGAGTAGAAGGGGACAAGACTAGGGCTGGCCTGGTGGCAGCATATTTAATTGCAAGGTGTTCAATTACCTAAAGAAAAGCATAACCCTGACAAAGAGAAGAAGAACACCAAGAATATACAGAAAATTCTAAACTGTCTTAGCTTCTCTGGCTTAATCAGAGAATGCAATAGTTGGGGATGAAGAAGATCCAGCTTCAGTCTAGAAAAGCCATAGAAGATGATACTAAATATCATAAGTTGAATCAGGTTGATGCACATTGAGCTGACCTTCAGGTCTATATCTGAGAGTGCCTGGCAGGAAGTTTAAGTGAAAGGAGTATATGCGTGTTGTGCGTTTGTTGGGAGGAGGGGGGTGGTTCTTATAAATACTCTACCTACCCTTCCTGTTGGTTACCCTACTCTACCTGCTCCATTCAGGGAGAAGTCAACAACAGCAACAAAACAAAACAGCAACAAGGCCTATGAAAATATGCTATAATGAAGGAAAGAGAGTATTGATTCACAGATTCAGATGAAGAGCTTGCTTCTGAAGAAGATTTCTCATATAAAGCAAAATAAACTAAATTTTAGAAGATATGTACTTCGTACACTCAAAAAGCACAGGAGGACAACAGAGTCTGTGAAATAGGAGCCATGAGGCAAAAGGAGAGATCAACCTAAGATAAAGGCAGAAATAAGAACACAATGCAAGAAAATCTAAAATGCAATAGCAGAATTGAAATACGCATCAGGAGCGAGGCAATAAGGAGCAGAAAATAAGTCAGTGATGTGGAGGATAACAACTCTCCAAAAAATACAGAGAAAAAGGACAATGAGGTGAAAACTATCAAGAAGAAGATTAATGTGGATGAAAAGCAATAACTATCTAACTAAAAAAATAATAAAACGTGACCCTGAGAAAGGAATCTGAAACAATAACAGAAGAAAAACATTTTGAGCCAAAGACTGTGGTATGGAGACAGGAGGACAGAAGATGTTTGATGACATCTTTACTATCAAACCAACCCTGGGGACTTCTCTGGTGGCGCAGTGCTTAAGAATCCACCTGCCAATGCAGGGGACAAGGGTTGGAGCCCTGGTCCGGGAAGATCCCACATGCCATGGAGCAACTAAGCCCGTGCGCCACAACTACTGAGCCTGTGCTCTAGGGCCCGCAAGCTACAGCTACTGAGCCCACGTGCCACAACTACTGAAGCCCGTGTGCCTAGAGCCTGTGCTCCGCAACAAGAGAAGCCACAGCAATGAGAAGCCCACGCACTGCAAACAAGAGTAGCCCCTGCTCGCTGCAACTAGAGAAAGCCCGTGTGCAGCAACAAAGACCCAACGCAGCCAAAAAAACAAAAACAAAAAAACAAAAAATACCCTGGACTCAGGGATGAGACATGTCCTTTATTTAATACAGTGTTTGGCATTTCTGTTACTTGTAGACAAATGCAGTCGCAATGGATACAGACGGAATAGTCTTCCTCTTAAGCAAGGTCAGCAGCTATGCTTCTTAATTTAAAAAGTCAACCCTACCACTTAGTTACTTGATAGTGGAAGCACATGATCAATCCTTAATCAACAACACTGAACATCCGTGCTCCAGAATTTAAACCCTGAATTGTTTGCTACTTAAATCTGGTCAGGTTTCTGGATAATGGGGTGGCAGGAAGCGACTTGCAAAATGTTCAGTGGTTGCTCACTCCAGGCTGCCCAGCCTGGTCCTGACGACTCAACATGGTGAGGTCAGGCTTTATTTGAGAGAAATGCATTTGACTGGAGAAAACTTGATCAGACCATGGCATTGGTTTTTAGATGGCCATTAAGGAACCACTGGTCTTAGGGACACACTATCCGTGCAGTTGTCATTATGAGCGCTGCTCTTTACATACCCTAGGTGTCTGCTGTCCCCTGCTCCTTTTCCTTGAATTACACTCCTTGTGATGGATTCAATTGTGCCCTCCCCCAAAGATATGTTCACATCCTGACCCCTGGTACCTGTGAATGTGACATGAATTGGATACAGGGTCTTTGCAGAAGTAATTAGTTAAGGATCTTGAGATGAAATCATCCCAGATTTAGGGTGGGCCCTAAATCCAATGACTGGTGTCCTTGTAAGAGGAGAAGACACACAGAAACAGACACACACACACACACACACAGAGAGAGAGAGAGAGAGAGAGAGAAAAGGCCATGTGAAGATGAAGGCAGAGACTGGAGTGATAGAGCTACAAACCAAGGAACACCAAGGACTGCTGGAGTAACCAGAAGCTAGGAAGAAGCAAGGAAGGATTCTTTCCTGGACATTTCAGAGGGAGCATGGCTCTGCCAACACCTTGATTTTAGACTTCTAGCCTCCAGAACTGTGAGAGAGTAAATTTCTGTTGTTTTAAGCCACCAAGTTTATGGTAGCTTGTTAAAGCTATCCTAGGAAACTGATATATTTCCCAATAGTCTACTTGAAAACAAGCATTGGAGAGCAATGTGGAATTTAGTGAAGATTTAGCAAGGGAGAGATGGAGAGACTTTATACCACACACCCTGTGACAGACACTGGTGGTAATTCACCCAGCCTCTGTGTTCCTCTTCTTCCTTCCTGGCAGACCTGTGCTTTTGTTCCAGTGTTTACCCTTGCCCACATGGCTGAGGGAGTGGGACCCTCTCTCCAGCTCCAGGAATTTATCCTGATTGGTTTAAGCCCCAAATGCTGGTTCCTTTCCTTCTGATATTCGGGGAGGGAATGTAACTATTGATTTTGAGAGTGCTAAAATTCAGTTTCACTTAATTTGAATTAGGAATCCTGAGCTCTGGTCTTTTCAGAACATAAGGCAGACGAGGAAAACATCTCTAAGTTCTAGTCTGGTAATGATGATGTTAAAGCATGAACTATGAGGCCGACTCTCTGCTGGGTGCTTTAAAGAAATGTTCTTATCCATATAAAAACTCTGCTAGGTAAATCTTCCTAGCCCTGTTTTACAAATGAAGAACTTGAGGTGCAGGATAACTCTATAACTTGTCATATAGCAGCCAATGTGAAATTTTTTAAATATTAGTAAGATCAGATTGACCACTTGCACTTAGAGAAAACTCCCATCTCCATAAGCCTCTGGCCTCTGCTTTGCTCTCCAATTTCACCTCCCACCTCCCTCTTGCTCACCATGCTCCAACCACATTCAATTTCTTCCTTGACCATGTGAAGCTGTGCCCACCTCAGAGACTTGGCAGTGGAGGGGTCTTTGCCCAGATCCTTTCAGCGCTTTTGTCTTGCCTCAAATATCATCTCAGATGACACTCTTCCTTGACCATAACGTTTAGTGTTGCCTCTTCCAAACCACCCCCGGGGTCTCTACCTTGCTCATTCATTGAACAAACACTTACTGAGTTCCTACTATATCCCAGGTACTGGTTTAGTGTCTTCATAGATTTTTCTTCATGGCACTTAACACAATCAGAAATTATCCTAGTTATTTACTTGTTTATTCTTGTTCTTCACCCCATAGAATGATGGCTCCTTGAGGGTAGGGCTCTTGACTGTCTTGGTCACTGCTGAGTCTGTACTACCTAGTGTCCGTTGCTTTGCATGGCACTTAGAAGGACTTCAATAAATACTTGTTGAAGGAATGGATGAATTTCCCGATGTTTATTACTAGCTGACTCTATTACATGTCCATGAAGTGCTTGGAATGAAGCACTGTGATTTGAGCCAATGGTTACTCTAAGCTCATGTTCTTGCATGTAATTGGCCTATACCTAACCAGTACATAAAGAAAGCAAATTGGGAATGAGAAAAGTGATTAAGCAGCCTCGGAATGCATAGGTTATTGCCCTTTAAAGTGTCGATTCTAAGCAATACATGTGTCATTCCATTCTAAGGCTAGAGTGACGACAGGATTGAAATGAGACTTCAGTAATCTTATTTGACAGAGATAATGATTATCTTGTGGCCCAAGACAGAAGCCAAACTTCAAAGGAAAAGATGTGTTCCCAAGCAGGAGATATAAAAAGCCTGCTTTGGGTATGTGTTAGTTTCCTGTAGCTGCCAAAACAAATTATCACAAACTTTGTGGCTTAAAACAACAGAAATGTATTCGCTCACAGTTCTGGAGGCCAGAAGTCAGAAATCAAGGTGTTGGCAAGGCTCTGCTACCTCCGGAGATTCTGGAGGAGAATCCTTTTTGCCTCTTTGACCTTCTCCTGGGTACTGTCATCTCTTGGCTGGAGTCTGCATCACCCAATGTCTGCTTCCATCTTCAAATTGCCTTCTCCTCTGTGTGAGAGTCTAATCTCCCTCTGGCTCTCTCTTATAAGGACATTTATGATGGCATTTACAGCCCACCTGGATAATTCCACATAATCTCCCCATACCAAGATTCTTAGGAACTTCCCTGGTGGTCCAGTGGTTAAGAATCCACCTTCCAATACAGGGGACGTGGGTTCGATCTCTGGTTGGGGAACTAAGATCCCACATGCTGCAGGGCAACTAAGCCCATGCGCTGCAACTACTGAGCCTGTGCGCTCTAGAGCCCATGTGCCACAAATAGCGAGAAGCCCGTGTGCCACAACAAAGAGCCTGTGCACCGCAACAAAGATCCCACGTGTCACAACTAAGACCCTATGCAGCCAAACAAACAAACAAATAAATAAATACTAAAAGAAAAAAAAGAAAGATCCCTTAGGGCTTTCAAAGCCTCATTAAAACAAAACAAAGCAAAAAATTCTTAATTTAGGGACTTCCCTGGTGGTCCAGTGGTTAAGACTCTGCACTCCCAATGCAGGGGGCCCAGGTTCGATCCCTGGTCAGGGAACTAGATCCCACGTGCCACAGTTAAGAGCCTGGATGCCGCAACTAAAGGATCCCACATGCTGCAACTAAAAAGCCTGCATGTTACAATGAAGATCCCACGTGCTGCAACTAAGACCCTGCACAGCTAAATAAATAAATAAATATTTTAAAAGAAGATTCTTAATTTAGTTACATCTGCAAAGACCTTTTTTCCAAATAAGGTAACATCTACGGGTTCCAGGAATTAGGATATGGACACACCTTTGGCAGCCACCATCAGCCTACCACAGGGAACTCTGGATAAAGTAAAAAAAAATCCAAAAGTAATGGATTTATGTTAGACAGGGTAGTATTTTTTCCTTTCTCTTTTTTATTTTGGTAAAATACACATAACATAAAATTTACCATCTTAACCATCTTTAAGTGTACAGTTCAGTGGTTAAATACATTCACGTGGTGTGCAACCAGCACCACCATTCACCCTCATAACTGTTTTCATCTTGTAACACCAAAAACTCTATACTCATTAAACAATAAGTCCCCATTCTCTCCTCCTCCCAGCCCCTGGCAACCACCATTATACTGTCTGTCTTTATGATTTTGACTACTTTTAAGTATCTCATATAAGTAGAATTATATGGTATTTGTCTTTTGATGGCTAGACAGGGCAGTTTTAAGTGAAAAACAAATTGCCTACTTAAGCAATTTACAGGAGAAGACTTTGTGAAAAAGGACCCTTGGATGGAAGAAGTAATCACTAGTTAAACCAGATGCAAGCCCTTCTGTGAAACAGAATATGGTTTAACAGGGACAAAATAGACCCACGATTTCACAGACGCTAATTGCTTCTGGAGAAGCCCAGTCATGTCTACAGAGCTGGCTAGAACTGGCCCTGAATGGAGTAGGCTACTGGCTTTAGAACATCCAATTTAGGTTGCCTGGGGGAAATAATGAGATAAAAGGCAATGACATTAAATTGTCCCCTAGATCTGTTACATTATTAAATACCAACTGTGAAACATTGGGGATATTGGAAATCTGGAAACATTTAATGGACATTTGTGTCATATTTAATGGATGTCAGTTTCTTTTATTTCTTTTGATATTTTATGGCCTGTTTCCTTGTAAAAGGTAGGTGGGTGGGAAGATTGTTGTCAGACTAATTGGTTAAGCACTCAAGAAAATAATGAAGTTTCTGGGTGAGAGTTGAAGTCAATAAAGGTGTGAGATTCTTAAAAAGGAAATTGGGTATTTCATCCTGTTAGCTCTTCTGTCTGGCACAAGGTTCTGATTTTATACTTACTGTCCCATAAACCTAATGCCAATCCCTGTAGTAAAAGCGATCTATGTTAAATTTGAGCTTTCTCATTGTAAAAATTCCCCTTAGTCCTGGTTCTTTTACCAGCTAACAACAGGTTTTCATCCCTTAATTGCTCCAGGGCTGGCATCTAGCTGCAGGTATCTGAAAACCTTTAGTTTGTAAGAGCAATTTCTAATTCAATATTAATTGTGCTCGGAAGCATTTTATGAGCCCCGCTTCCACCACAGTGAGGTACCCTATCTTGCTGCTTAAGCCCACTCTCCAGCCCTGAGAGTGACTTTCGCTGGAAATCTGTAAGATTCCTTCTTGCCCTGCCCCAACCCACCAAACTGGACCTCTGAGGAGGGCTGGCTTCATGGGTGTACGAGCTGTGCAGTTGCTCTAGATCTCTCGCCCAGAATGGTCTCATACTTAGTTTAATGCACTTTGGTTGTCATTTTGAAATTTTTAATAATTTTATCTTTGAATTGAGTTTTGTAAGCAAAATCCAAAGGGACTCCAATGGGACAACAGGGCAGGTGTGTGAGCAGAGATATGCACGATCTGCGTCTGCCATTCTTTGCCATCTCATTCTCATGAGTGTTCCTGATGCTCTATCATGAGCATAGAATTCTAGGGGACCCACGATATGTGGGAGTAAGTGTGACTTAGTGGCTTGGGGTGGGGCGGATGCTGACAGCCCTTGAGAGACCGTGGTCTCCCTTTGAACTAGAACTTGCTCCAGATGCAGAATGAAGGTGATGGCATTCAAAGAGACATGAATGACCATGGAACCTCATCACATCTCTTCTTGCTCATGTTACTTTCCTGTATTAGCTAAATTGAAATGATGTGGGGCTCATAAAATGCTTCCGAGCACGGTCAGTATTGAATTAGAAACTAATCTCACAAGCTAAAGGTTTTCAGATACCTGCAGCTAGATCATTTCGGCTAGACTGAAAATGATGACACAGAAAGAAAGGAAAAGATAGGGCAACCCAGAGCTCCTTTTCCTTTCAGTCTTCCCTTTCCTTAATCATTGGGAAGCTAAAAGTAGAGGGCATTGCTAGAATATATGCATATTAGGAAATGAAATAAGAAGCTGAGTTAGTTTTGTGTACGAAACTGACTTAGTATTCTGGTAAGAATAAAATACATATGCATGTACAAGCTGCAAAATAAAAATCGTGTAGTTTCAATGATTCTGCATATGAGTTAAGTGCTCTTAACGTTTGCATTTAAAAGTGGCATTGGGCAACATAAAGACGAACGGTAAAATTCATGCTAATAACTTAAAATTTTAATTTTTCTTTACTTAGAATGACATTAAATAGCAAACAAAAAGTACTATGACAAGTTAAAAGAGAGACCATGGAAGAAAAGAAAGAGCTTTATATTTTCGTACTTTTAATGGCTCTTTTCCCCTACTTTTTGAACACTGTGCCCCACAAATTATATAGCAGGCCCTGCTTCTGAGTGTCAACCCCCCGGGCAAAGCAGACTCAGCTTTCCTACCACACTTCCAGCCATGTGATTTGGACTAACCGGCTGCACTCTGGGGGCACATCTCTCCATTCCCAGCCTGCTTCCATTTTATACCATATAAACACATATATACACACATGCACACACATACATGCCAATGGACAAGAGTGGAGTTAAGGATACGATCCTTAATAAAGTCTAACCTGATTCATGTTCTGTTTCAGGGACCTCGAAAGCTTCAGCCTCCTCAGGTAAGGATGCCCTGGTCTCCTTGGCTACCTCAGGGGCCTCAGACCCTTCGTGAAGTTCAGACTCCTCACCTTCAATCTCCTCGTCAGCCTCAGCTTCAGTTTCTTCTGCTTCTATAAAAAATGAGAAGAAATAAATTATTTAGATTAAGTCAGAAAATATTTAATTGGGAATGACCCCTGGAGCATGAGGCTTAATGAGAAAGATAGATACAGTCTCTACATATTGTATCTATTAAAATGCAGCAGTAAAGGATGATAGTAATATGCTCAGAGTGCTATGGGAGCACCGGCCTAAGGATTCATTCAAAATGGGGAAATGCATATAGCATTCCCAAATATTATAACAGTAAAAGACAGGAAACAAGCCAAATGTCCATTTAAAAGGGAATGGCTATACCTGCACTGTCTGATATGTAGTCACGAGCCACATGTAGCTATTGAGCACCTGAAATGTGGCAAGTCCAAACTGAGATGTGCTGTAAGTACAAAATACACAATGGACTTCAGAGACTTTGTATGAAAAGTTGAATGTAAAAATATATCAATAATTTTTACATTGATTACATGTTAAAATAATAATTTGGATATAGTGTATTAAATAAAATATACAGTTGGCTCTCTGAATCTTCAGGTTCTGTATCTGTGGATTCGACCAGCCACGAATTGAAAATATTTGAAAACAATTTTTAGAAAGTTCCAAAAAGCAAAACTTGAATTTGCTGCATGCTGGCAACCATTTACATAGCATTTCCATTTTATTAGTTATTATAAGTTATCTAGAGATGATTTAAAGTATACGGGATGATGCGTTTAGGTTACATGCACATACTATGCCATTTTATATATGGGAATTGAGCATTCATGGACTTTGGTATCCGTGGAGGTCCTGGGACCAATTCCTCATGGATACCGAGGGATGACTGTAATTAATTTCACTTGTTTCTTTTTTCTTTTCATGTGACTACTAGAAAATTTGAAATTATGTATGTGGCTTGCATTTTATTTTTACTGGGCAGCACTAGCCTAGACTATATATTTTCTTACAGCTAGTTACAAATTATAATAGAGTATGTTGATCAGTATGCTAAAATTTAAAAAACGTAAGTCCAAGTTTTACATAGTTGCTGATGACAACAGCTATAAGAAATAAATGCATAGAAGTCTTTGAGGAAGAAGATGGGGTAAATGGTGGTGTTAGAAAACCCATCTCTTCAATTCCCTTTAATATATTTTTTAAATTGACTGAAACAAGGTATTTTCTATGTAAAGATATGAAAAACTAAATGAGCTTGTTTTCTGGACTCTTGTGGGAATTATTCCCTCCCCTGCCCCCTGCCCAGTGTGTACCTTCCAAGAATCACATTCTAGTGGTATGAGATACCTCTGGCACCTGGATTTTTAATCTAAATTGGGGTGATTAAGCACAAAGAAAAAAGCATCCTGAAGTGTCCTTATATCTTGAAGTCTGACCAGGATTGCCAAGCATGTGGCTTCCAACTATGTGAGTTGGAATGTGGTGAATCTTTTGTGTTATATGTAGGATTTATGGTGATACACACAAGGAGGTAGCATCATTTGCTGAATTCTACTAGGGTGAGAGATGAAGTTATATATACTCTACTCCAGAAACTCAAAATGTCTTTTAGCTGAGTATCTCTTATAGTAAAAAAAAAAACTTATCATATACCTCCAACACGCATATATTTGGTTATCTGTAAGTTGTGTTCTTATCCACATTAGGTACATTATAAAGTGTATATATAAAATGAATTTATATAATGATGCTGAAAAATGTAAAAAGTTTGAAAACTTTTCTAGAACCCTACTGGATAATCTGTGTTCCATGTGAGTCAGGAATGAACTGAAAAGTGTTCTAAGATCCTTGTACTATCTGTGATTTTTGATTAAGTGTATATTGTATTAGTTATCTATTGCTTCATGTATATGTTGTATTAGTTATCTATTGGCTCATAATAAATTACCCCCAAAATTAGTGGTTAAAATAACAATAATCACATATTGCCCTCGCAATTACTGGGGTCAGGAATTTGGGAGTGGCTTAGTTGGTGGTTCTGGCTCTGGATTTCTCAGGAAGTCACAGTGAATATGTCAATTAGAGTTGCAGAGGTCAATCTGAAGGCTTGACAGGGGCTGGTGGAGCCCCTTCCAAGGTGAACACTCAAAGCCAGAACCAAGGTCCTCCGGGAGCAGAGAGAAGCACGGCCAGAAGTCCTGACCCACAGAATTTTGTGCAGAATAAAGATAGTGGTTGTTTTACAGTTTGGGGGTGGCTGGCTGCACAGCAATGGAACACTGAAACAGACTTTCTTCACTCTTTTGAGCTACGGACGGCTTTGTCAGTCTGGTGCAACTTATGGATTCCTTCTTAGAATAATGCTTTCAATCTCATAAAATAAAATAAGAAGCCAATTATACTGAATACAGCTATCAAGATATCAAAAAAATTTTTGTGGTATAGGAAATGTGTGCATCTTTGCTAATGCATTAAGTAACAAGAACTAGCAACTGGTTGAATAACTACCATAATTTTGGAATAGTGACACGCATAAACAAGACATCTAAAACTGGAATGGGATATGAAAATATCTTTGTTTCTACTGGTGACAAAGTCAAGGTGCTGCTAATACTATTGCAGTTTGTAGCCTATATTAATTATTAGGTGAGTAAAATACAAAATTTCAGTTAAGGGTTAGTAAAAAATAGAGTATAATTATTTCCCCATTCAAATTCACAGACCTCTGAATTTTATCCCCAGGTTTAAAACTCCAGTCTTAAAAGAAATTTTTAGAGTAAGTTCTTCTATAATGGAGATGGAAGTTTAAGTATAAAGACAATGGGTATAGTAAGAGTTTAGCTGTTTTCTCAACTCCTACAGGATCCTTTTAATAGAAGTAATTCCAACAGCCATGTCACCTGTGACCAGCGCAACCCTTTGAAGACGTGCTGCACATGCTGTCCTACTGTGTACCCCTCTTACAGGGTGGATGAGTAGGTATCTGTGTCAGGATTCCTTTTCCTATGAATCCAGTACTGCTGTGACCATATAATTTATTATCCAAATTGGAACACTATGGGAATGAGAGGGGGGTCAAACAAATACTTCAGGAACCTGGGCATGAACCTAGACTCTCATGGGCAAATTGGGAAATATGGTCACCCTGTCTATAATTCACTGGAAGTACTGCAGCTGTTGGCAGTCACAATACAAAATCAAATGGCATATTATTAATCATATAATCTTATGTTTGCCTTTTGCTTTCGCATTCATAGCTTCCAATAGCTTTTGATTTTCTTCTTCTATTCTCAATGTCTCTTCTTTGGCTTTTCTGAAATGAAAAGGTCCAAAATTTAGTTATCTTTGGAAATTCAGATATCTCACAATATTATAGAATTTAAGGCTTATAATGGTAAAATTAAACAGTAGGTCATTTATAATATTCATTATACTTTTTACTTTATAATGTAAATGTTTAATTTACTCATACTGAGGCTAGTTAGTTTTCAGAAATATTGGGTTTTTTTTTTTGGTAAGAAAAGTTGAAATATTGTATTTTAAAAACTTTGGCTATTAATTAGGAAACCCGGAAAAATTAAAAAAGGATTGTCTAACTCCAAGCTGGGATAATTTGTATCATTTTCCCTCTGATTAAATGAGAAGTGTTCACAACATAGAGTTAAATAAAAAAAGGTATAATATAAAACTATGTATAATACAAATTTACTTTTGTATTTAAAATGTATATAAATGATGATTAAAAGACAAGAATAAAATGAATCAAACTGTTAATAGTAATTATCTCTGGATGGTGGCATTCTGAGAGTTTTAAACTTTATTTCACATTTTTTGCACTTAAAAAATTTTTCCATATGAGTAAGTAGAAAATTTGTAAATTTACCTTTGTAACCAGAAAAATTATTTTCTGATTTATTTTCTTTTTAATATAGTAATGATGAAATTTAAAGAGACTTGGGATAGGGAAACAAATATCTGGAGGGAATCTGTCTTTCATTAGGGTTCAAGGACTAAACCTGCCTTAATGATGAAGACAGGTATAAGGAAAGTTAGTAAAATGATGGAGAAAGACAATATTTATTAAAAATTAAAACATGCATACCTTTGACCTAGAAATTCTGTATCTAGGAATTTAGCCCTCAAGTACTGGCATACTATTGCACAAAGAAGCATGTATAAGAATGTTGACTGCGTCTTTAAAAATAATATCAAAAAAACTGTATCAAGTATTCACAAACAGGGGACCAGTTAAGTGGAGTAGAGCCCATTCATCTCTGCAGCCCACTCTGGGGCAGTCTTCTTCAGACCGTTCTATAGGTTGGTCATTCTCTCATATTCAGTGCTTTTTTGTGTGTTCTTTTTCCCCTTTCTTTGAAAATCTTTAATATATTCTCTTCAAAGATATTACTACACCTCTCCTCCCAACAAGCGTGTTTCTTGTTAATAGGGGGTGTTCTCTCACTGTGTTCTAGATACAGTCTGTGATCCAGACTGAGGTCTTGGTGTAATTCGAGTTCTCTTTGTTCATGCCCCAGACTTCTGAGACTACTGAACATTGTTTGTGCATGCCTTCCCTACTTTGTTTTGTGTGAACTTGGCAATCCTTCTACTTAGTCAGGTAGGGCTCTTTTGCGAGACTTTCCTCATCCAAAACCTGGGTACTGTATGCTGCTGCTAAGAATCTAAGACCTGACAAGAAGGAGGAAGAATTCTGCTGCCAGTTTCTAGCTACTTCTATATACTACTTGGATAGACAGTCAAAGACAAATGGTGATAACAGAAATTATTCTGCATTTGACTCATACATTTGGAAACTGATGTTGGAAAATCTAGAATCAGCATGTCTGTAGATATGTGGCCAAAGATGTAATTCTAAATCCTGTTAATCTTATCTCTTGTCCAACCAAGCTGCAAGGCCTTTAAATGCATCCCTGACCATTTTTTTAAAAAAATTGTTTTAAATTTCATTTTCTGCAGTATATGAGAAAAAAGCAACATAGAGAAATGGAGAAAAGTCTGCTTCAACCTGGGCAAGTCTTTGCCATTAAGAAGTTTATAAAGACATAAAAATTTAGAATCAAAAGAAGTAAAAATTGATTATAGAGATAGCTCGGAAAATTCCATTCGGTAAGAGGGAGGTGAAAGTTAAGAGTTGGGAGACAGTGGAGATGTCCTTTTCCTTTAAAAAAAACCCTATAGATTAAATGTATTTTAAATTATCTACTTAAAATGTAGCAAACCTTCAGCCTAGAAATCACATGAACTTCGTTTTACTGTTATGTCGATAGCTTCATATGTTCTTAAATATTTGACTATTTCTCATACACTGGAAGAAAATTAGGTAATCCCTTAAATCCTAGCAAATTGTAGCTCCATTTGTAACAGAACTTTTAAAAGCTAAAAGTAAATGTAATAAGTTTGTAATTATTGTCTTAATACTTTTAGTCAATTTTACAAACAATTGTATTAACTAATCTAAATTATACTTTATGTATTTTCGTGTTAAGTTCATAAAGGAACGGCCAATTTAGGTGAACAATGAACATCAAATAACAAAATCCTCTGACACACAGTTATCAGTTATCCCCCACCCTCTAACAAATACCCACTTCCCAGCTCCATAATTCCTAGAGTTTAAAGAGCTCTCCTAGTCCCAGCACAAATTGCTAATATCTGAAGGGGAAAAGGAAATAACATTTGAGAAAGCTTCTATAGGTGTCATCATTAATAGTGGGAGGTTTAATGGGTTAATATAAAGAAATTTAGTTTTTGAATGTCTCAGCCTTTAACACTTGGAGAAGTAGGAATCTCAGTGGACTAATTAAAAATTTTAGTGTCTAAAGAGCTTGTTTCAGCAAGGAAGAACAATTAGCACATTAAGACACTCTTTCTTTTTATACTTTATTTTCCAGTCTGAAGAACTTGATAGTTAAAGTTTAGTCTTGACCCCAGCCATGAACAGATAGAAGTGTGTCCACATTTTGAAATGTTCTTCATTGCACCCAGATTAAAGAATAAGCTCTTGATGTTGAACCTGTCAATTATAAATAAGTAGTCTTGTTCTTTCCTTATGTAGAACTTAGGCTTTGGATTTTAATCATACCACACAAGTGTATTTTCACTTTTTATTATATTATTTCTTTCATTTGTGGATTCTAGTTAGCAAAATTATAATATTTAACTCACAGATAAACATGGTAGAAAAAAATATCTTCCCTGTGCTCATTTCTTTACAGTGTCTTTGGAAAGTAGATATTTGGTTTAGAATGTCTGATTTGGGGCTGTGAAAACAGCCACAACTCTGTACTTTAGAGATTATGGAAATATTTGTGAAATTACTGCTTTTCTTAGAATTAGAACTGGATCTAGTTAGTAGGTCACCATTTTGATGCTAAAGACATTTCATAAATATAAATTGTAAGTACATATTTAACAGCTATAAGAGGTTAATTAACCCAGTTTATTGTGCCAGGCAGATTTTACCTTGCTGCTTCTTCCTCTTTTCTTTTCTTTAGTAGTTCACCCAATAACCTTTCTAAAATCTTAGAGTCAATTTCTTGTTTATTCTCTAAATACAGTCTATTAAATAAATATTTTCCTGAAACACAAAGAGAACAATGTTAATTTTGAGGCTCTATAAAATATAGTGAGATATATTTTTGGAAATTAACAATGAAAAGATTATTTCTGTCTATATCCAAATATATTTTCCTTTAAGCATTTATTTAAATAGAGCCCAGATTCTTTAAGAGACCATCTTAAATCCTTTTTTTTTTTTTTAACATCTTTATTGGGGTATAATTGCTTTACAATGGTGTGTTAGTTTCTGCTTTATAACAAAGTGAATAGTTATACATATACATATGTTCCCATATCTCTTCCCTCTTGCATCTCCCTCCCACCCTCCCTATCCCACCCCTCTAGGTGGTCACAAAGCACCGAGCTGATCTCCCTGTGCCATGCGGCTGCTTCCCACTAGCTATCTATTTTACATTTGGTAGTGTATATATATGTCCATGCCTCTCTCTCGCCCTGTCACAGCTCACCATTCCCCCTCCCCATATCCTCAAGTCCGTTCTCCAGTAGGTCTGTGTCTTTATTCCTGTCTTACCCCTAGGTTCTTCATGACATTTTTTTTTT